TTTTAGTGCCTGCAGAGTATATTTGAAAAAAGATTAACCTTAATAACAAACTTCAGGTCTACAACGCCTGTGATTTACAAATTCTAATCTGATATTTTCAATCTAAAATTTATTCGCTTTGAAACAACAGTCAAAACAGTAACAGACTATACAGCAGACGCGTCCAAAACGGTAACGGTAGACAGAAATACACCGACAGATGACACGGATGTATAATTATATGTTTCAAATTCGTGTATTCGAAGATATCTAGTGATCTTTCTATAGAATCATAATTATCTTTATTGAAGGTTATTACTGGCATTGAAGATATATTAGGTATTTACCTATGAAATTGCCGTTTTGTATGCAATAAGTGAAAGTACTTATTTTTTCAAACTTTTTTCTTTCTGTTATTCGAAGTAATCACCCATGCAATCGACGCATCTTTGCCAACGCATTGGCAGTTTATTGATGCCCTTCTTGTAAAAATCAGCTGGACGGGAGGCAACAAACTCTTCAAAGGCATTTTGTACTGCCTCTCGGGAATTGATTTTTTTACTCACTAAAAAGTTGTCTAAATTATTTATTTTACAACTAGTCAAACCTTGTCATTTGGTACCCATATTGGCAGTTGTGTAACTTTATGTACTTGTGTACATCGGTGAACTTAATACCGGCGTTCTCTACCAGCCAACCTGTAGGGGGTGTAGAAATCTGGTGATATATAGTTACGTATAACCGGTAATATTTAATTTTTATTACCCATACATGACACACACACAACATATATAGGCCTTATTGTTTAATGGTCTTTCGTATCTGGTTGGACTTCAACAGAACAGGAGAACAACAATAATAACGTCGTACATCTCACACACGGCCATCTAGTCCCAAACTAGGCAGAGCCTGGTAACCAGGCTGATAAACATACTTCACATCAACAGCCTTTAACAGTCCACTGCTGGACATAAGCCTCTCCTTAGAGAGGAGGCTTTGGCCTACTATACCACGCTGGCCAGACGGGTTGGTATAGGGTTTGTGTCAAGTTTTCCTTCTCTCTGCTGTTGTTCTGTTTAGTTTGTTTCCCTTAGTCGGCTCTTACGACACCCACGGGATGAACAGGGGTGGTGACACTCCGTATTCTTAATCCGTCACCACACGGACCCGTAACATAAACATACTTTTATATTTCTAAATACATACATATTATAGATAAATTATACCCTGACACAGAACAACTAATCGAACCCACGACCCCCGGTTAGACTTCTACCTTCTCTTTACCGGGTCACGGGAGCAGCCGATTCACCTGATGGAAAGTGGCTAGTGGAAAAGCAAGGAAAGACCTTCTTAGCTCTGGTTTCCTATGAGGCCGTGATCCGTTTCACTCTGGTTGAACCCTTTTATTTTGTGCCAAAGCATGGCCTTCCCGCGGTAGACGTTTACACAACTCATTGAGTACATTCATTTTTAAATCTTTTTTAGTTAAGAAAACCTTGAATTCGTACATCACATTCGCAACTAAAACCATAAACAGTTTGGTTTAAATAAGTCTGACTTAAAATATAAATAACTTTCTAACCATGTATCATAATATAAAATAAACTAAAAAAACACGTTTTTTTATAGAAAACCAAACTGAAAAATAAATTTATTTTCTATTTTTAGTTTGGTTGTCATCGGTCCTCGATATATCTACAAAGTTTGAACGAATTCCGACCGTTTAAAGTCAGTCAAAATCACGCCCAATGGAGGCAGTTGCAAACATACAAACATACAAGTGAAGCTAATATAAAGCGTGTAAAAATACACAAAACCTATAACAGTATTTCATGAAATCTAATATTCAAGTCACAAATAAAATTATGGCACCCAAGTATATTTCTTGTTCAATATAGATCAAGGCGGATCATCAATCGACGGAACTTTTAATCGTCCATTTGGTCAATAATTTGGGAAGGGATTTTGTTATGTTTTTATCTTTAAAAACATTTTTAAAGAAGCGTGTTCATTGAGAGCCAGGTCAAATAAATGAGTTCAGATGAATAATTCAACTGTGACCACACCACTGACAGCTAAATAGAAACATAATATCATACCTTTCAAATATTTGTTTGTTCTTATTTTATTTGTTTTAAAAAAGACAACTCCCGCATTAGGAATATATCCTGTGTCACGGGGACTTTAAAAACATACATGAAACGGACACAAAGAACACCCAGACTCAGAACAACAATTTGTGGATCACACAAAGTGTCGTCTATTGTGGGGATCAAACCCGCAACACTCAGCGTAGTAGGAAGCGGCGCGGCGACCGCTTAAACCACTACGCCATCCGTGCAGTCGAAATTACTACGAATAATTCTTTAAGTCAAAAATAATGTACCGTTCAACATATTAGTTCCAAATCGGTAATCTATTATTGTGCGATGCAGAATTTGTAGTTACTAAGTATTTCGGCATATTGATCTTATTATTCCATTGTAATTTTACTAAGTTCCAATATTCTCCAAATAAGATTCAACACGCATATTCTACAGCCGATACAGCAGTTGGGCAATCTGTACAACAATTTTAAGCCGCCACAAATCATTCTCGACAGTATATCTACACATCAAACCAAAATTACATCAATTTCAACACTTATACCGCCAAACGTGATGATTGCAGCTGGTTTTATCCGGTCGTGTAAACAAAAACGGCTCACAGCCGACGGCCGCTATCTCTCGCCCGTAAACACTAGTTCGTTTTGTAAGTGAGCTATTATTAATTTTACGTCTCGTGCTAGGCATGCTCATTTTATTAAACCCCTACAAAATTTACCACAAGTAAGAGCTGTAGTAGGGTCCTTTGATTTTCCTATGAAACCAAGGCCAAAGTGAAAAGGTCTTCAGAACGACTTCAAAAAAGAAAGACGTTCTCAATTCGGTTTCGGTTCTAATATAAAAAATCTTTTTTATTTGTGTATACTGCCCGTTTGGTTTGAATTTGAAAAAAATAAGAATACAGATTATTACAATTCAGCTGGATTTAAGGTTATTGAATGAAAAGAACAACTTTACATCCTTCAGATGTAAAGTTGTTTCAAAAGATACTCATTTCTGCAAAGTTAAGGTTAAGGATTTTAGCTACACACGGCTGTCACGTAAGGATTACCAAACCTTATTACGGTGCTGTAAAGATCTCAGAATTCTGGTAGAGTAAAAGCAATTTTGTAGTCATATGATTTAAGTAATCTTATTTATGAAAATTGAAAGATAAAATGATGACATTTTACACCGCGTAAATTAATTAAACCTTAAAATATGTAGAATTATATCAAATGGCAATTTCAATACGTAATATTTTGAAACAAAATAACGTTTAATAAACACATACCGTAACTGGCCGATTAATATATGTTTATATTTTCTAATATTAAAGTTGGTCAGAGTAGTTAGATATTTATTCATTTAAGATCGAATGAGTGTAAATAAAAGGATCGCTATGAAAAAATAGGTTAAAAATACCTTTTCTTTTGTAAAATATTTCCAAAAGAAAACTTATCTTGCACGCTCTTAATCACACATTTACGTGACATGACCTTACTTCACTAAGGGTTCTGCCGTGTTTATTTGATTTGTGAAAATATATAAGTACTTAAAATTTACAAACAGGATTTTAATTTCAATAATTTTCATGCACCCAATGTCACTCACACAATAAAGACAAATGTTATCATCATCATCAATCATCAACAGCCTTTAACAGTCCACTGCTGGACATAGGCCTCTCCTTAGAAAGGAGGTTTTGGCCTACTATATCACGCTGACCAGACGGGTTGGTATAGGGTTTGTGTCAAGTTTTCCTTCTCTCTGCAGTGCTGGTGTCCTGCATATTTCGCTCCCTTAGTCGCCTCTTACGACACCCACGGGATGAATAGGGGTGGTGACACTCTGTATTCTTAATCCGTCACCACACGGACAAATGTTAAGCCACCTCAAAAGCCAAAATTGATCTAGCTGTTCAGATTAAAGAGTATGTCTTAGAAATTTACATGCACAAATACCCCTCCTCCTACCTCGTGACCCCGTGGTCCGATTACTTCGTCCGACAACGGTCCGACAACGCCGACTTTTTTCCTGTTGGCCCGACTGATCGGACGAGGTGCATAGATGCTTGACGTGTCAGATGTTTAATAGAATCATGGCTAAGGCACCAGTAAACAAGTTCATATATAGTCATGCATCTATACAAATAAATAAAATTGGAGTGTCTGTTTGTAATATTAAAATAACCGCTTTTTACTAAATGCATATGTATGTTGCCACGGTACATATGCCAAAATAACATTTTTTATAATTTTTGTCTGTCTGTCTGTCTGTTTGTTCCGGGCAATCTCTGGAACGGCTGGACCGATTTCGACGGGACTTTCACTGGCATATAGCTGATGACATAAGGAGTAACTTAAGCTACTTTTTTAAGACTAGCTTCGCCCCGCTGCGTTGCCCGCGGTTATAACAACAAACGCGGGTAACACCGCGGGTCTCAGCTAGTATTGTAATATATACTAAGTATTTTTTTCTAAAAAATTGTATTTTAACCAAACTTTAAGAAATAAAAGTTGCTCTCTTTTGGTTTTAATTGGGAAAAGGGTATCCCAATTTCATTTAAGTTCCGTACAATGTGTAATATTGCATAGGATGTTGGCTGCTTTCTTGTTTATCCGGTTACGTACTTACCGGCTACCTACTACCGGCCCTTCTTGGGAATATTAAAAAAATTGGTGAGATAAACGAATAGGGCGAGTAAGTGATAGAGCAAGCCATGAATCAAAAAACAGGACTGATACTCCAGTAGCTTGTAAAGGCATAGGTTGCGTTACCGTGCCAATCCTACTGTCGGGAAGGCTAGTAGGGCCAGTAGAACAGGACTGGCCAATATTTGTTGTCACTAAAATGAAATATAAAAGATATTATATTAAGATATACCACTGTTGACTACAAAAAGAAAGAAACAATAATATTGATCATCACGTTTTAATCTTTCTTTGTGCTTTTTTCAATTAAATTGGTATCAACCGCATTTAAATCGTTAGTAAGTTTTAGCAGTTTGTCTTTAAAAGATGAATCCAAATTTTGTCCTTTATTTGCAGCTAGCATCCTTCGTATTATCTCTTTCATATCTTCATCTTTCTTTCCAATATTAACTTCTTTAGCGCGTTTTTCTTTCCTAGATATATCAAGAACTGTAGCATTATTTTCTTTTATGAAAAGACTAGCTTCGTCAGTTAAAGTATTGTTACTGTAAACACAGGTTCTAATATCGTCAACTAGTAAGAAAGCTTCATCTTCTATCGACTTTATTACTTCAATGAGACAAGCTTCGTGCATCGCACCATGCGCCATTAGTTTCGTGAGACTGACAACACCTTCAATAAGTTTTCCTGTTATCTCCATCATGGCTGATTTTATTATAGGTGACTGAAACATAAATAAATAAGTTTAAAAAATGTCTGCATACTTAATAATGTTTGGGTTTTATAATTATATTGTCGGGCATGATGCAAATGAATTATTATTGCTCACTCTGAGTAGCAATTTATAACTAAATTACCTGAAATTTTGCAAATATTTAACATTATATGCTATATTTATTATAACGACTAGGCGACAACTCAGAATTTCTAGACTTTGGCGAAGAGCCAATTGCAATAAAATTTGTATAGTATTTAAACGTGACAAGCTGATCATAACATTACTACTAATGGTCATTTTTAATGTATGTCAGGATACAAAATATATTTGTCAAACAGGATATCGAGAAACTGCTATAATTACCACAACTAGGACAAATAATTGTATGTTAAGCACTATCATTTGTTCTGAGTGCATGTGTAATTTATCGATAACACAATATCTTTAGAAATATATAAAAATATTATTTAGTAGTCTGGTTATCATATCCAGTTCCGTTCCGTTACGTGTGAGATGAGTTAAGTTATTATTTTATTATAATTATTACCACAGGCTTTCAGACTTTCAGGAAAAAACTTTTTACAGTTATGCCCTAAGATATTATAAAGAATTTTGTAGAACATATGGTATAAGTAAAAAAAACACTTCTCCGTATCTGGACACCTTAAAGAGTTCTCACGCAAGATTCTAGTAAACATATTTTCTTCATTCACCGGAAATGACTAATTTGCGGCGGAACGGTTTTTAACAGATCCGGCCTGAATTAAGTGTACCAGTAATTAATTTTGCAATATCCGGTATGTAGAAATTGTAGGCAAGACGTTTTTTTTGTGGCATGGAGGTATGGAAATAAGCAGATGGGTCACCTGGTGTTAAGTGACTACCGTCGCCAATAGTCAGGTGCACCTCAAGAGACACAAATACGATGACGACCTTCGAGAGCCCTTCCCCTTCTTCCCCTAGACTAGATCTCCGTTAATCTCACTCACTTGGTGAAAAGCAATAAAACGATTTCTGTGAGACCAAGGGATCACTCAAATCAATCCTGCCCTTATATGCAAAAGCACGACTCTCACTCGATTCAAGCTTGTATTACTTTACTGAGCAAAGTTCGATACCATAAAATGCCAATAGTGGGGTATAAATTAGGCAAAAGTATTTTTGAAGTTTAAACAGTAAACAGTTGGATACAGTGAAATAATTTCTATGAAGGTCACGACAACTTCCATGGTATGGCAAAATTTTATACCTTAATAGCTTTCAGAACTTTCTTAAGACATTCAATAACTGGTTAAAGTAATATTGGAAATGTATATTGATGATAATACATGGTTGTTTACAACACATATGGTTTAATTTATAAACTTTAAATAATATTCTCCATTAATCAATCAATCATCGGCTTTCATTAGTCCACTGCTGGACACAGGGCTCTCCTTAGAAAGAAGGTTTTGGCCCACTATACCACGCTGGCCAGACGGTTTGGTATAGGGTTTGTGTCAAGTTTTCATTCTCTTTGCAGTGCTGTTGTCCTGCGTAGTTTGCTCCCTTAGTCGCCTCTTACAACACCCACAGGATGAATAGGGGTTGTGACACTGTATTTTTAATCCGTCTCCACACGGATATCGCGAATATCAAGGATTTTCCATATAAATATTAAGTATTTCAAATTTTACATTCGTCTTTGCACGAATGTTACTGAAAAAGGGGTACCAAGAGTTCTCTTAACAAGTATTAAGCAGAAAAGATAAAAATAAAGAGATGACTTGGCATATCATATAGCGATTAGAATCTATGCAGTTGTTTTATTACCTGATGGTTATTTTCTTTGAGCTTAGTTAGTTTACTTAACAGTAGTTGTAACGATTAACAAATGAATGAAATACTAAACAATAAAATATCATCAGAGATTGTATGCACCATTTAAAAACAGAAAATGGGACAGTTGGCAAAAATTCAAGGTCTGTGTCGAGTACCTGTTTCAAACATGCACTGTTCCGGTTTAGAGAATAATGAATTTAAGATTAAAGCCAACTAAAAATGAACTGCAGCAATGAACAAAATACCTTTGAAGGTAAACTTGTGCCTACGAATCGTAAGTGTTAGTTACTGTAAATTTATTGTTCTGTTCAAGCGCTATGATCCGTAGGAGATACTCGTGTGTAAAAGTCTTATCTGTCTGACTGTACTGTACTGTCAGTAAAAAGATATAATTATCAGTTGCGTGATTATATAACAATTCTGGCAGTGATTTGATCACAATAAGATGCCTCTCAATGCCGACGTCGAACTAAAGAAGTATTTTAAACTCTATTATACTTAAATGCGTCAGTCTTTTCGAATCCACATGACCTGCAAAGAGTAACATTTGAATCAGATAGAACAGAAGCAGTACTACAGAAAACACTACCGTCTTTAGTATTCCTTCCCCCTAGAAATAAAGTTTACGCATCTCAGTCAACATTCAGTACCATTTGTTTCGTCTGTGGACTACAATTAGAACTAAACATATATTCAGATCGTTCTAATTGTGGTTTTGGGAACCGTTTAAAAGTCGTAAAGTCTGAACCGACGATAAAATTGTCTAACCTTCGAGATGACGCATTTGATGACCTTCTTCAGGGTGTCGTGGTCGTGCCCGCAGACTCTCAGCAGAACATAAACTTCACCTTTCTGATCATATATCTGCAATTTTCATTTAAGTGTGTGAATGTAATATGTGAGAATCTGGTTTAACGCTTTGAAGTTAATGGCCAGTTGGCATGTTAAGTATTGATGTACGCGTCTTTATAACGATTAAATCATACTATAAAATTAAATAAGACTCACAACTGGGAAAGCAAGTTTTCAAGAGAATCTTGGGCATGTGTTAAATAGTCAAAGTAGGACATCCTATCTTTACAGCTAAGGCTGTTCTAGATACTGCAAACGTTTCTACTTATTCTAAGGTTCTATGCTAGCTTTCCAATCCAAATATATTGTTCTCTGGTAAGGAGGCAACAAGCATTTTTGATTTTCAAAAGGTATGCTACTGAAAGACCTTTACAGGTGATTACAATATCCACAGTAAAATTCTGAAGCCAGAGCTTTACTCTAACATTTGGATTATTATAATTAGATGATACGAACAGACACGAAAAAATCCTACTACAATTACAGTGACGAGATACAGACTACGTAAAAGAAAGAGGAAACGTCTGATTAGTGCGCAATTAGAAAAAAAAATGTTTTCTAATGAAGCGTACCATCACCACATCTCTAAACAATCACCAAATAACATAAATTACCAAAGTCTAGACTACGTAATGGCTCAGTAGGTAGTCTAAAATTACCATTTCAACGTAAATCATTAGCGGTGAATAGTAGAACAGCCATTCATCTTTTCACCAGTTCCCATGTGTAGTCGGTACCGGAATAATATATTGAAATCATTTAATAATACGACATGGGGATATTTTTTATTAATACCTTATATAATTTTTGAATAAAGAATTGAATGGTTGAATTATTTAAACTTTTGAAAACCTCCGAGACAGCTCCTGAGGGTGTGAGGCATGAGGAGCTGTCTTGGACGTTTCTGATTTTTCTGAGGTACACAGCAGGAATTATGAGAACCAATCTATGTAATAAAGTATTTTAATAGTGAAATAATCATTAAAAATTGACATTTTTCTTCTAAAATGATAGATATTTATCCAAAAACGAAACAAATACATTAAAACTATTGTATTTAACATGCCAGTTGAAATCGCTTCAAAGAAACTTTTCACAAATACTAAGAAATGCTTGCGTATCTTATCAATGCCTGGCTTGCGAAAAATATTTACTTTTTCCAATAAGTCAGTGTTGCCGACGTAGAAAACAGAATGTAAGACATGTAATGTTTTCTATAAAATAAGCATTAGATTCCTATGAAAACCAATGTGATCCGGACTCTGTACTTTCAATTATGTAGCGAACCAAACTGTGATCAGATTAAACACTAACCTAAGCTGGTTCTCGACCCCTATTCGAAAATCGACCAGAATCATTAATGGACAAATATTTTGAATAGTGCAAAACAAAACTTTTCTCCAAAACTACTTCGATTATATTTATTTGGCTGTCTGCCAATTCGATTTTGTACTACACGTATATTTCTAACCTATTCAAAATATCTGAACTAAATTTATATTAATTTTAGTCCTAAATATGTCTATCATTAGTATATTAATGCATCGCTTACTAATCAGAACAGTTATTTCTGATTATAATGACATCTGTTGAAGTTACTTCAACCATTGCAACAAGGCCAGCAGTTTCTTAATTCGTTATAATTTGGTTCTAATATTGTAGTGTATTGATAAAGCTGGCCTAAATTCAAAAAGCAGTTACCTCAAGTTTGGTCATACTCGTACTTCGGATGATAAATGAAATTTACTTTTTCAAAATGAAAATGAGTAATAATTACTTTTTTCAATTGCTCCTAAAATCCAGCTCTTAAAAACATTTTATATAAGAGAATGAGTAACGGACAGACCAATAAACATACTTCTCATGTTTTAAGATCAGTAAGAGTTTGATTTAATCATTAAACATAATATACTATATACAGCCACTTAAAAGCCTCTGTGACCGGCGAACGTGTAAGAAAGGCCTTGTGAATTTTGAAGAGGCGCAAACTATGTGCCTATATATCTTACTGTGGAAGCGGAGGATCTTACCCTGTCCATATCTGCTTTTCCTGGACGGTCTATCTGCTTATCCTGGCGCGCGTGTGTGTGTGATATTTATTTGATGTATTTTCTCATAACTCACCGATCCTAACCCACTTCCATTAGATCATATGTATGAGGATTAAAATGTTTCTTACCGGTTTTATTCCTTCTCGGATCATGTTCTTGAGAGCCATTACGCTGTGCACTGCTTGCGCAGGATCGTGACCGATCAGTGCATATCCGCAGACAACCATCTGATGAAGTGCCTTCTCAGCTAGCATCGAGGTTTCGTTTTGTTTCATCATCAAACATTGATCAAGCTATTAAAATGAAACGTATGAACTGAATGGCTTAGGTTTTAAAGTGGTAATCCCACCAAAACACATAATAGTCTTTCGTGTAGTTTAGCTCAGTTCAGTCATCATCAGTAACTGTTCTGTATCTTACTCAACTTTCATCCAACAATAAAGTAAACAGGTTATTACAATTCTTATACTTCTACTTCCACAGTTTTACAAGATCGAATATAGAAACTGTAGGTTTTAAAATTCCTTAAAATTCAACAAATATCTTAATATATGAGCTCTATACACTATACTTTGTAACTACTATAACTACTCGAGCAGTTGTATAGAGCTATACTTTGTAATTACTATGATTTTGTGTAATGGTTACCTAAAATTAGGTTATATTGTTCCAAACAGCAGGATGCTTACATACTGGCTCACAACTAAGTATTTGCGCTAAGGAAGTGTGATAAATACATTATATGTTTATTTAGATACGCCGCAAACCGTGTTTGCAAGTTGTTTGAAAGGTAAAACATAAAATATATTATTGCAGCCGCAAATGTTATAGCGTTATAAATACGATTACTTTCAAATAAATATATTACTTTTTTCTTTTTACACGTTTTAGAAAATAAAACGTGTGTTTTTTGTACATTATCGTATGATCAGGTCCTAAATGTTCCAGGGAGCAGAGGGAACATGGGGTTCCCACACGGGGGGGGTCGTCTACCTGTTGTTGTAGATGGCCCGAGGTATGTCGGGGCACCAGGGACTACCTTTCTACGGTATACCTGGTTCCCCGGCTATTAGTACCCGAGACGGGGTGCGGTTTTAGTCGGTTCGAGTCCGAAATGCCATCAATGGTGGTATCCGAGGGGACTTCCGCAAGTAAAAAAAAAAAGGTCCTAAATGTTGTCATCGTATTGTTAAACATTCTGCATAGGACTAATCTACAAATTGAGAGTACGGCGAGTGTTATATTTATATTTAAAATCTACGTGCTAATGAACCACATTTATACGAGAGACATTTGACAACAAGACAACCACCCATCCATTAAATGATTAACGATTAATTCCCATGATTTTTCCTTTAAGACTACATCTGCCCAATAACCTTCCCAATGTAGATCTTTCTTTATTTAATACTATCTTACTCTTGATCTTGCTTTTGCATGCGGTTTCGCTTACGTTAAATAGATTTCGTTTAACCAATTTTTAGGAAAAAGTACTTTTCTCTAGATTATTGATTATTTCCTTTTCTATAATAATATTACTTATTTTCAAGATGGTTGAGTAGTTAAAAAATAAAAAATAAGTGTGTGTCTCAGCTCCGACGCACGACTGGAGTTTACTCCTTTAGAACGCATACCCTGTGTTTGTGCAAATTTAGTAATCAGCGTCATCTATGTAAACGTTAGTAAAATAATTAGAAGTCACGTATTAATTGCCATTTATTTTGGGGTTTATTGTTTTAAAACAATTTTAATTTTGTAGTGGACTACTCACTAAACAGAAACAAAGTGTAATCATAGAACTAATGACAAACTCAAAAAAAAAAATTATTACAACCACGTTAAATTAAATAGTTGAACCGCCATTTACAAATTACATTTAGAACTAAAAAACGTAACGAGGTCATTCGATCATTAAATTTTACTCGTCATATTTTATTCAAAACGAGCGCTTTATATAAAAATCGTTTCTAAAGGAGTAAACTCCAATAATTATATTCGCATTTTTATTATTTGTTTCGACTTACCTCTTTCTCTCCATTACGTCTTATTACATCAAGCATTTCTTGAAGCTCCCCTAACTTTTCTTGGATGTGTGTCGTACCGTTCTTTAGTAATATCTTAATTTTTAAGAGCACCATATCTACTGATCTAGGAAAAATACATGTTTTGATTTATTAATGATATGGGCAAAATTCTTTAAGTTTGTAGTATGAAAAGATCTGTTAGAATTTTAGATCAACATTTTTGAACATGAGTACCGAGAACAACAGTTCAACGATCTCAATTCTAAGTTACCGTTGATTGCTGGATGCTTCATACAAATGCCATGGTTCATACAAAATGAAGAGATCTTCTTATTGTCTTCGTCTAAATTACAACGTTTTTTACTAAAATGGTAAATGACACATTTCAACCTTTTGTGACATGTGATACAAAATTTCCGTGATTTTTTAAGTAACTGCTTGATGTTCAAAATTCTTTATAGGACACTCCTGGACATTTTTCGAATGCTTTATAAAATCAATATTTAGTAAATTAGTTAGTACAAGGTAGTTAGTTACAAAAAGAAATAAACGATTATAAATTCTTACTTTTGCAAATCAACCTGAAACTTCTTCTCGAGGCTCTGCAGCAGATCTTGACCTAATTTGTGAGTGATTTCGTCTTCTATGACTTTGTCTACTTCTTCTTTGTCGACGTCCATTGCCTCTGTCAACTATTTATTAATTTGAAACTTTAATTTCTAAGAAACAAGGTTTTTAACTACTGCCTTACATAATTACATTACTATTACATAATTGTACAATTCTTGATCATTGGTTTTTAGTTGTCCCGGGACTAGAATCTAAGACCTATGAAAACAAGTTTGTGAAACAAATATTGTCTGTGGGATCTTTGCTACTAAGCCGCTCCTCATGTAGAGAATAAGAATCCCAAAGGATAAAACAAATCGCGTCATCCAATAGTTTCCGCAGTTTGGGTATCGTTTGTGTCCGTTTGTTTCAATGTTTGTAAAGTCTCCCGCTACAGAGAAATCAGTATTCATCATTAACAGGCTATAACAGTCCACTGCTGGACTTAGGCCTCTCCTTAGAAAGGAGATTTCGGCCTACTATACCACGCTGGTGGGTTGATATAGGGTTTGTTTCAAGTGTTCCTTCTCTTTGCAGTGCTGTTGTCCTGCGTAGGTTGCAGGATTTGTAATATTACAGGATTTACAAATAAAAAAAGCTATAAGAAATTGAGTATCTCATTCACAGTAAACAGTACGATTAAATTCATAGATTCATACTCAAGGAGACTGAAAGAGCGTAACAAAATTATTTTCGTAAAATACTAGAAACTGTAATCTAAAGACTATATTTCTCCATTTTTTTTGTACTAAACACTGATACCATGCGGTCACCGTAGAGCATGAACGATACCTTTAAAGTTTACGTACATAAAGGGCCGTTCATGGTCTCGGAAAGACTACAGTCCACCTGTGCTCAGTATTTAATCAACTCCATCAAAAGCTAAACAATACAATAATATAATGCACTTTCATGTACTTGACTTAAGAATCAAAACGAAATAATAAAGTTCCTCTCCTCACCGCAATTACAGTCAACAATAAACATATTCTCTTGACATTCTTCATATTGAATTTGTCGATCACTCCACGAGTTACTTAAAATAGTTGGCTCTATAAATAATCCCATTATGTACGTCTTGATATATTTTTATGACCGGGGCCGTAAAAATACATTTTATAGTTATCGAAGTGTGAATAGGCTATTTTATATGAGTGAATCGTTTCGATATGATATAATAAATGTAGTTTCATCTCGAAATTGTAAGCTTAGCTATTGGACGTTTGACGAACGTAGGTTGGAGAAAGAGGTTTGAATCAAACTGTTCGCTGTTCAGATTTTGGGTTCAATCTGAACAGCAATGTCACTAATTAGACAAGTATTTTTTTTGGGAAGCAATATCGTGGTACACTCCCGCTTCTATCCTCTAATAGATAAGCAGAAGCATAATTAACACCACTTTTTGCATAATTTGGTTAATTACCAAATTATGCAAAAAGTGTATTATAAAAGATGCAAAATTGCGAATATATTGACAGTTTTATATGGGATTTCTAAATTAAAATACACGAAAATTCTGAACTTGTTATCACTTAATATAATTCATTAGGTTCAACGTGACGCTTTTTGTTTTGTGGTGGTCACAAACCGCACGTCGTCTTGGGTACCAGTTGCCGGAAACCAGGTGTACCCTAGGAAGGAAAACCCTGATACCCCGACGTACCTCGGGCCATCTACGGCGTGTAAATGACCCCCTCCTGTGTGGGAACCCCTATGTCCCCTTTGTATTTCCGAAAGGGCGCGCGCGCTTCGCAGCGGGTCTCGCCACCACCCCGGCCTGCTTCTGCTAGGGTGACAGATGGCCTCACCTACCACCCCCAGGAGGTTCTATGTGACCCTAAAATATAATCATCCCTTAGAGAAACATTTTATACAGACAGAGTTCTTGATAAATAGATTAAGTCAAATCCTAAAAGTAGTGACAATTTTTTTCTTACATTTACCAATGATATCTGATCACCTAAGTGACCGACATCTACATAAAAGCCGAGACAATAAAGTTTTCCTTAACTTTAATCACACTTAGCATCACAAAATAAAACACAAAATGAGAAGATATACATTTATACAAACAAATGACAGATGCTTCATTTAAACTCGACCAGTGTACGATCACATTTTAATCTAAAGTCTTTTGCTAACAGTGTTGATGTACTAATACTCCGCGATGTACGCTGATTCGAAAATTTTGTGTCTGCAGATCCCGTGACTAGTAGAGCAATGTTCACATACATTCTGATAAGAGACAGCATCCTGTGAAAAGCATTTCGTTAAATTACTTTCAATCGCCAGAATCTAGATCTATGAAATCTCTTAAATTTTATATTTTAACCATTTATTAGAAAAATTAAAGAAACATAATAAAATAAAATATGGGAGGATTGACAGATATATCAGTTATCCAAGGAAAAATCCTGCAGGATCTCTAAAGAAGTGACTTAAATAGAATCCACTACACTCAGGTAATAATAACAATAATATTTCGGACATCAGATGTTCACACAACGCCATCTAGTTTCAAACCAAGCAAAGCTTGTACTATGAAAACTAGAATAACTGATAGAATGCAAATATTCTTTTTTTGTACATACATACATATTATACATAAAAAAATACCCAAACTCCGAAACCAATATTTGCAGATCATACAAACAGTTGGTCGGGAATCGAATCTGAGTCAGTCGCATACGCTACCACTGCACCACCGAGGCAGTCGATATAACAAAGTTCATGTATCTGTATAATCGCATCCTGAAGATTACATCCCCTATTTTCCAATGCATCAACATGTACTGGACGACTCAACCGAAATATACCATGGCCTCGGAGAAACCGATGTTAAACAATTCCTTTGTTGCTTTTCACCGAATACGTTTGCCCCTTTTTAGTGCATTGGTGGGAGGAGAGGTCACTTAAAAGGGAACGTGCTTGTGTCATAACATCAGGTGACCTTATATCGTAATGAAGGCCTTTTGACAAGTCTCCTAATGATGCGTGGTTGGATACGTGGCACATTGACGTGTCACGTCAGTTCTGTCAGAAGTGAAAGCTTGACGCATTGAAAAATGTTGCCGTAATCAAACTTTTTAGTTTCTTTGTATAATAATATGTTTTTTTTAAGTTTTGTTTTATTATTGTATGCTTTGTTTTATGAAATAAGTATCATTCTATTCTATTCTAATGACAAAGACATAGAGACTAAGAAACGTCAATACCTATCCAGTGATGCAGCTGATTCTCTAGTCCTTCGAACGAGAATCTCTTAAGATCCCCACTTCTTCCTAAAGCTGTTTAGCTTGTTTTGATAATACCTACTTGCTTGAGACAATATGTATGTAGACAGACAAAATATGATCACTTACTTCGGAATTTATACAAGCAGATGCTCACTTTATCACTCGTTCAGCTGAATCTCTGAAGAAAGCACCAATATCTCTGCTTTGTGCAATCAACAGACTTCCTGAGGAATAATTAATATATTTAGAAGATTACTGTGTTAAGCGTATCTTTTTAATTGACTATGGAGTTTGATTAATAATGCAAACGAAATCAGTTTTACAGTTAACTTTACGAGTGCTAACAACTATTGCCGATGAAATATGTAGAAAAAAGAATTTTAGATTTAAATCTAATTAAATATTTTGTCATGTCTTTGTACTAAGTACAATTATCTATATTTAATGTAGGTATCTGTTAAAAAAGTATCACCGACTTCAAAAGTTTCTTAACCCTGATAAATTCTTTTTCTTTTTTTAAATTTTCCAATCTTAAATTATCCAAATGAAGTACAAATGCTTCTGCCTGCTGTTTAAGTAGTGATCAGGTCTACAGGAATTCTCAGGGACTACTTTAATAAGATATGCGCATAGCCCTTGCAAAAGATAAACCGATAACACAATACGTTGTAACATTTAATTTTATGATTTGCCAAAGATAAAGAAAATTGGCAGGACTCTTACTTTGGGTATGCTCCAAATTGTCCCTTTTCACAATTACACGTATTCGTAGACGGGCAGATCAGCCTTCCTATTGTCACAACGACAGCCTTCAACCCGTTGCAGCTGCAAGAAATAAAATAATTTTCATATTCAGAAGAAACATTGTTGAACAGTTGTTAACCTTCCAATCTCAATATATGTTAATTGCTGATAATGGAGCTTTCCATTGGTGAAAGATTTTTTAAAATCGATTTAATTTTTTAGGCGTTAAAGCGTAACAAACAAACAAATTCAATTTCACATTTATAACATAAGTATGAAGATACAAAAATAAGGATATTTAGATAGATATTCCATTTTACAGCAGAATTATACAAATAATATGCAGCTTGATCAGTTGACTCTATCTCCTACTCACTACCTTCCTATCTGAGAATGCATGCCCTTAGAATCTAAATTAACTTTTCATTCCCTTTTCCATTTCACTTCGTGGATAAGTGCAGTGAATCCCACTTTGGACCTTGATGTTCTATGAATGCATGTCATGTCAAAGTCCGCACATTGGCCGTTTCGACCGGGGTGGTCATCATCATCATCAACAGCCTTTACCAGTCCACTGCTGGACATAGGCCTCTCCTTAGAAAGGAGGTTTTGGCCTACTATACCACACTGGCCAGACGGGTTGGTATAGGGTTTGTGTCAAGTTTCCCTTCTCTCTGCAGTGCTGTTGTCTTGCGTAGTTTACTTCCTTAGTCGCCTCTTACGACACCCACGGCATGAATTGGGGTGGTGACACTCTATATTCTTAATCTGTCACCACACGGACCGGGGTGGTACCATATAGAAAACCAGTGTTATTGGTTAATCTTTGGTTCTTTTTAGTTCAATTACTGTGCCCAATCCCTTCCTTCCAAAAGGTGTACAATAATGGCGGAAGTTACTTACATCAGATGATCTCTCTGCTCAATAGCCCACATATTGCAACCCGTAATTTTTTTATATTTAGCTCAGAATATTACAAATAATTAATATCCATATAAACTTATTATTCCTTACAGCTAATCTATACTAATATTATAAAGAGGTAAAGTTTGTGAGTTTCTATGTTCGGGATAATCTCTAGTACTACTAGTTTGAAATGATACAATCTTTTAGTCTTGAATAGCCCTTTTATAGAGGAAGGATCTCATGAAGGTTATCATACATACATCATGCTACGACCTATAGGACCCAAGTATCAATGAAAGTTATGATTAAAGTTACGAATGATAGTTTTGAGAGTAGCAGTTGCATTGCGTGAGACAACTTGTAACTTTAATATATTTTTTTGCACTTCCTGCATTTAAATTTGCATGTGACTTAATTCCACATGGCATCTACCAGTTAACTTTTAGCTGGTTAAGTAAGGAACATGGCAGGTACACATGTACAACGAACAGAAGATAAGAATCTATAAACTAAAGGTTTTTAAACATAAAATTACAATTAATGGTGCTATTTAAAAGTGGAGTGATAGAGAAGAGGTCTATATCCAGCAGTGGGTGCAACAGGCTGATTAGATAGATAGATTTAAAAGTACATAAACAACAATAACTACACGGATGGCGTAGTGGGTAGTAAGCGGTCACCACGCCGCTTCCTACTTACTACACCGAGTGTTGTGGTTTCGAACCCCACAACGACACTTTGTGTGATCCACAATTTGTTGTTCTGAGTCTGGGTGTTCTTTATGTCCGTTCCATGTATGTTATACTCCTAATGCGGGAGTTGTCTTTAAAAACAAATTGATAAATACGTAATATGCATACAAAATAAAATATATACAATAGTAGTTATATATAATATAACACAGCTTACTTTCTCACACCCAGCACTTCGACACAAATCACTTCTGTCAATTTTCCCCAATAGCTTATAGATCTGTGAACAAGCGCGTTTGTTTAATTACTAGACTAGTTTACCACTGTTTTAAGGTATGCTAAAACTAGACTCTAATCTAGTAAGACCACATGTATTTTTCCTTGGAGTTGTTATTCTCTCTATTAATCGTAACCTCAGTAATTACTGTCTAATAGTTGGACTGCACGGATGGCGTAGTGGTTTAAGTGGTCGCCACGCCGCTTCCTACTACGCAGAGTGTTGTGGGTTCAAACCCCACATGGGATGACACTTTGTGTGCTCCACAAATTGCTTTTCTGAGTCTGGGTGTTCTTTGCTTCCATTTCAGGTATGTTTGTAAAGTTCCCCGCGACACAGGATATATAATAATATAATGTCTAATTGTCTTTTAAAAAGAAACAAAATAGAAGTTTCTCCCTTTTTAAAGGGCTGCTTTGGGCAGATATGGCCAATCACAAACGGGGCATTATAGAAGTATTCATGTTAAACTGTAAAAAATATCTGAATCTTAAAACTTGCCAGAAAAACAAGAGATGTCCCTTTTTTTACTAAGTAAATGTTTTTCTAAATTATGAATTAAGATATTTACTACTAGTTTGTAGATTACCATTTCAGAATTCAGTTGGAAAGTTTCTTCTCAGAAATCTCCGACCCAAATCTTAAGCAATATTCAATTTTTTGAATAATAAAATAAAAAAAATATGAAATCATACTAACTCCTAACTTGAAATCGTAGCTCATTTCTAAAATAAGATTACAAATGAAGCTAACATATTCAGAAATGGTTTCTGAAAGCCTGAAACCAAAACAAACACATTTAATTAAAAAATTAAATGCAAATGTCCGCATTTAAATAAAAATGTTATGTTACTCCTTTATTTGAGGTCATTTTCGTTTTAAATTTTAGAGTTATAGCACTTCTAAAAACCTTTTCGAAAATGACTGGAAGCTCGTCCCACACGTTGACTGGGTCCCAAACTAGGCAGGGCTTATACTTTGATATAACTAGACTATTAAAAAACAAGGTTATTTAGTTTTAAATACATAAACATTATAAACAAATTACAGATACACACAAATGATCAGTAACGGAAAAAATCATACCCATCACACAATAATTTGTCCTAGGTAAGATTTTATTAGTAAGTTTAATGTTTTCTGTAAATCTGTCGGGGGAATCGTAGCTCTTGAGGAGACGGACCAATTTTCATTTGTCATTTCACTATTGTCTTGCCGTTCAGGTGTCCAAAAAACATTAACTCTTTTCTAATCGAGTACTAGCTCTATTAGTTTTAGAGAAATAAAATTGAGTGGAAGGAAAAGTATTGAAAAGCTGAAGGTAAAGCATAAAAAGGATATACGGATAGATTGGACTATGTAAGCAACGGTTCGAGCTAATCAGGGTCGCATACTTAAAACCTGAACTCACTCGAATTATTATTATTACGCTAGCGCATGACTTGCGAAAGGTGTAAATCAAAAAAATACAAAAAAAAGGTCGTAAACTTTGATAAAAAGATTGATTGATTTTAATGCCATTTATAAAAGTCTATAACGAAATCATTATCAAATGTGAAATCACTGTGACTAAAGCCAGTCATTTCATGAAATGAATATGATTTACAAGTAGCTATAATTTCCCTGTCTAATACACACTTAGGTATATTAAAATACTGCTTACCTCGTTAAAACATTATAGTAAGCGCAAACAAGACAAGCTGCTACTCTATCATGCTGTCCTGATAGATTTGACTCTTCTAAAAGGCAGCTACACTGATTGACCTTCTCACAGTAGAAATCTGGAGTTCCTAAGGGTGCGTACTGAAAATGACTTAAAATTTCTTATCTGATCTAATGACGCTAGATTTCAATGCATCAATATTACCATCACAGTGAGTAGTAGGTTCCATATCTATTTTTTTATTTTCACGTTTTATATTAAGAAAAGTTTAAGATTTATTTATCCTTAGGATCGCAATAGCAATGGCCATTTAATGTTTATTTTTGGTCTTTTAAATTACAAGACTAATTACACATGGATACGTAATGGATGGGCGTAGTTGCGAGTCTATTAAACCTCACTCACTCAGTGAAAAGCAACGAACGAATCCCTTCACACCGATTTACCGTGCGGCCGTGATATCACTCCAGTCAAGCTGACTAAAGCATAGCTCTTGCGTGTTAAACTAGCCTAACTTCTTCGCCATATCTGTTTCCCTCGCTATAATTGACTAGTTTATCTTTGTTATGTTTGGAAACCATTACATTCCGACGGAAGGGTGGCATCAGAAGGCAGTCAGAAGGCAGCCAGCCATAAGTGCTAGCGCAGACCGAGAGAAGCACAGCCGAGAGATTTTTATAAGATATTCAAAAATTAACTTTAAAATTATTGATATAAAGCGCATACACACTGCATAGGCACTTCTTACGCTGATCTCGGTTTGTGCTGGCCCTAAGTGAGCGAGCTAAAATTCATCTCAATGTAATACATTGTGGCGAGTCCAAGTTCTCGCATCCAGCTCCTGCCAGCTGGCTCCTGGCAGGAGCTGGATGCGAGAAGCCCAAAATCGATCTTAGTAGAGTGCAATGGGAGAGGCCTATGTCCAGCAGTGGACTGCGATAGGCTGATGATGATGATGATGATGAGTCCAAGTTAAATCGCGAGAAGACCAAATAGATGATGATCCTTGGACTATTAACTACGAAAACCAAGTAGTCTTCAGTGATGGGTACTAACCAAGATAAAAGCGCAGATGACAGCAAATAAACATATATTAGTACACCACTCTATGAGATAGTTATGATCTGAAAATAAAACAATTACCTGCATTTTAAATATTTTACATCTTTTTTCTTCTACATGACATTCTCATTAACACCGTCCTAGTCTATCATTTCGTCAACTTCGGCTGCTATAAGTCTTAGTCTAGTGTTTTTCAAGGTCATAATATCCACCCACATGTCATACATGGCTGATCCCAAACAAGGCAAAGCCTATGTAGCAGTACTATGGGGACCAGACTTCTTATAAACATACTTATATACTTCATCAACAGCCTTTAATAGTCCACTGATGGACATAGGCATCTCTTTAGGAAGGAGGTTTTGGCCTACTATACCATGCTGCCCAAACGGCCAACCCGTATAGGGTTTGTGTCAAGTTTTCCTTCTTTTTGCAGTGCTGGTGTTCTGCGTTTTTTGCACCCTTGGTCGGCTCTTACGACACCCACGGGATGAATTAGGGTAGGTGACATTCCGTATTCTTAATCCGTCACTACACGGACAACTTATATACTTAATATCTACATATTTTGGATAAATTACACCCAAACACAGATTAAAGGATCGTACTCATTACGACCTCTGGTTTAGCGGTCACGATTACTACTCCCTGGAACCACAGGCCCGTTAATAAGTATAAAAGTTTTTACCTGTTACTAAACGCCGCGACGAATGGGTCTTTTCCATGCCAACATAAAATTACCAAATATTCGCTGCTTTTAGTAGCGTCATAACTACATTTCTTCAAGACGGTTAATTCATTTAACAAACACACAGGACACAAGACAAGAACAAATAATTTTACTGATCAAACCATTAGCTCGTTGATTGTTTAAAACATGGATAATGAATCATTTGACAAATCAACTTCTTTTTGACTTTGCTTTCTTAATTGTTTATTATTGCAGCATAGAGGTTGCTATATCCTCCTGTCTGACTCTAACTGTTTGAAATAATAAACTTCAAAAGCACCAAGGTTTAAGTGGTCACCTCACCGCTTGCTACTGCGCTGAGTGTTGTGGGTTATTCCCCACATGAGACAACACTTGTGTAATCCACAAATTGTTCTAAGGCTGTGTGTTCTTGGTGTTCACAGGATATAGGAAATAAAAGATCAGTCGGTCGGAAAAACCATATGTTATTTTTTCATAGTCCTTGACTCCATAAAATGACTTTTATCTCAAAATGTCCACATTCCAAATGGCCATATTTTGTTGGACTTTCAATAAAAAGTGTGTAAAAATTATTTAACAAGTCTCTAAAATCGTCTAAAGCAACACACTTTTTTAGGATTCTCAAAAACATTAAGAGAGTGATTTCTGTCTTTCATTTTAGTCCTTTAAATATCAGTGTCCGAAGGACTAATTTTTATTAAATTTAGGTGTCTCCTTAAACATTTGGAGTAGTCAAAATTATATTATAGCAAGGTGAAACCGCGTGGCACAAGTAGCGTGTTATAAGCTAAATTAAATCCCAGACGTTGAACACGTAATATGTAGGTCATTTCAACAGCGTGAGCTGACTTCAAACGGGAATATAACCTTGTTTTTAAAATATTACAAACAGCCATTAAGGCGAATGGTAATTTAATGGCAAATATAAGCGGGCATTTCTTTAAATCAGTTTTGAAAATCTTTGAAATACAACTAGCATCATCGATTTAAACCGATGCTTATCGTTCGTTCAAACCGATAAATTGCTGAGTTTTGTCACACCTTATCAAATATTTCTGGAGCTGTGCTTTTATGTATTAAATAGCAAGGAGGCAATCGAGCAGACGTGTTACCTGTTGGCAAGTGACTACCGCCGTTTATGGGCACTTGTATCTAAAAAGACACGTTGCTGGCCTTTAAGTGTTTTCGCCAGAATTAAGCTTGGGAGATGAGGGGATTTCGGTAACATCACTCAGTCGGTAGAACGCAACGAAAGAAATGTTTAACAACAGTTTTCTGTGAGGCTGTGGAATGACTCTGGTTGGGCTGGTCACTATGTGACGAAGCATTCATGTAGAGAGTTCTCTTTGCAGTGCCTTTGTCCTGCGTAGTTTGCTCCCTTAGCCGGCTCTTACGATACCCACGTGATCTGTAGGGGTGGTGACACTTCATATTCTTAATCCGTCACCACACGGACACTAAATATTTATATGTTTAAACAGGGTGTAAGGGACGGTGTATCAAATACTGAAATAGTGTATTCAGACCATCATTTTGAGTCGAAAACCATTGGAATTTTCTGCTGGAAAATTAAACGTTTTATGCAATCATCTGTCATATGTTAAGGTATACATTGCGGTTTTTGATCGTATGCGGTATTTACTACTTTTTATCTGTACAATAATTGCCGAATCCACATCCCAGATATCTCCAATCTCGTGGGCCAAATCCAAATACTTGTTTATATTTTTCAGCTTTCAAGAGATTGTCTTCATATATTTATTTTTATTATTTTCTTTAAGATGCTTTCCCAGCTTTAACATATCAATGACGTCAGTCTAGATGGCGCTATATATGATTTAGCAAAACATTTTTTTTCACACATCTCCCACACAGCTGATTCCAAACTATACAGAGCCTTTACTATGGTAACCAGACTGCTGAAAAACATACTTACATATTTTTAAATACATACATATTATAGATAAATTACACCCAGACACAGAACAAATGACCGTGCTCATCACACAATATTGTCCTGGGTGGGAATCGAACCCACGACCTCCGGCTTAGCAGTCAGGGCCACTAACCACTAGACCAACATACTAGCTTTTGCTCGCGGCCCCGTCCGTGTATGTCGGTTTTCGCGTAAAAAAGTAGTCTATAATGATAATGCAGCCTTCCATTGGTGAAGGAATGTTTAAAATCGGTTTAGTGGTTTAGGCGTAAATGCGTAATAAACAAACAAACTCACTTTCACATTTATAAGGGTTTCAAATAAGCCCCTAAAAAGGCCGACAACTGTCTTTTTACAGAACTTTGATATAGTTGACTTAAAGCCGACCCTAACCTGGTTTGGGATAAAGGCTCGGAGGGAGGAAGGAAGGACTTACGAGAAATTCCAACATCGGAAGAAAACACAATATCTGAATCGTAAATTTTAATTTTTAAAATTTATTTATTTTAATGTAACTTTATCACCTCTCCTAGCTTGTCCTTAGTATTTGTGAAGTCATACAATTCATGGTAACACTGCTTCATGCTTCATTCAGTAATACGGCATTATTTTATGGATTCGCTATTTCTCCGGTGCTATTAGATAGCACACCTGCAAATTCTGAAAAATAAAAAAATTGAAAATTAAGGTAAATTTTAGTACTTACAAGTTTTCGCAAAAATCGAAACTTGCCCATCTTTTTATCATGTTGACTCAGGACCATGATTTTTATACACCTAACAGGGACCATAGACCTCAGTAACTGGTATAAATTTCAACTTGCTAGGTCTACCCGTTCCTGAGAAAATCGGTGGTGAAACACGGACAAACGGACAAGAAAATGATCTTATAAGGGTTCCTTTTTACCTTTTGAGGTACGGAACCCTAAAAAGTACAATAAAATGATTATAATACATATAAATAAATAACCTATTTTGTGTACACTTTAAAAACTCAAAAGTTTTGCACCGATTAAGTCCATGTCCTGAGAAAAGACACGATATTGTTATACAAACCGCTTTAGAGATACAGACACGAAAGCCAATAAAACACACACACTACCGAAAACAGAAAAAAAAAGAAGATGGATCTCTTTTCGGTTTTACATTTAAATTTTTCTCTATTTAGGAAATTCACAGATACAATTATAAAACTAAAACATAATACACGAACATCTGATGGTCATTTACAATTATCCGCTATTTGAATACATGTGTAGTGTCTAATCGAAAGACAGTAAACAAAATAAACAGCAATTGTAGTCAATCACAAAATTTCTCAGCCAAAATGTTTTTATACTAACTTTTAAACTTTCGCGTTCCATCCCCAAACCATCTTATTGCAACCTGGTCGAAACGTCAGGCAAACCAGAGGTATGTAATACCCTAAATAAGAGATCGCGTTAATTCCCGTTAAATAATATTAATTAAAATTTTTTTAATTTTAGAAACACTGGTATTATAATACTAGGTCATGTTGAGACGAAATTTTATGATACAGTCTACTCGCGCGTATTTTAAATGGGTTTCGTCGAATACATAGAAGACTATATAGGCTTACTGATCATCAACAAAGGCCTTTAACAGTCCACTGCTGGACATAAGCCTCTCCTTAGAAAGGAGGTTTTGGCCTACTATACCACGTTGGCTAGACAGGTTGGTATAGGGGTTTATCCCGCTTTCCGCGGTGGGCTGTTGCCAGGCTGAACCGGGACCTACTAGAGGAGGCAGCCATAATTCACTCGTGGCTGTCTCCTCAGGCTCCGACCGAGGAGGTCGACGTGGGGGCTGGCCGCTTTCGCGATGCGATTACGCATGTATGCGATGCGGCCATGCCCCGCGTTCGAGGTCGTCGGCCTCCAAGGAAGGAGGTCTACTGGTGGTCCCAGGAGCTGGCGGACCTCCGTGCGGCCTGTACACGTGCCCGGAGGTCCTACACGCGCAGTCGGCGGCGTCACCGTGGAGACGGTGAGGAGGACCGGCTTCATGAGGAGTACCGACGGGCGCGGAAAACTCTGAAGCTGGCCATTAGCCGCGCCAAAGAAGAAAAGAGACAGGAGATGCTGGAGGGTCTTAATCGTGACCCCTGGGGTCGCCTTTACCGCGCGGTGCGACAAAAGCTCCGCGCGTCGGGCCCCCCCGTTACGGAGACTCTCCAGCCCAGCTTCCTGCGAGAAGTGGTTGAGGGCCTTTTCCCACAACGAGCGGAACACACTCCCCCGGCGATGGCCTCCCTGGCCGGAGATGACGGGGAGCACGGGGAGGACAATGTTCCGCCCGTCCGGGAATCGGAGGTAGGGGCGGCTGTTCTACGGATCCGTTCCAAGAACACCGCCCCTGGGCCAGACGGGGTACCGGCCCGAGTGCTGGCCCTGGCCCTCAACCACATGGCAGACCGCCTCGGGGAGGTGTTCGACGCTAGCTTGGCGTCTAGACGCTTCCCTGAGTGCTGGAAGAGCGGGAAGCTGGTCCTATTGAGGAAGCCGGGACGGCCTGCCGATTCGGTCGCGGCCTATAGGCCCATCGTGCTGCTGGACGAGGCGGGCAAATTGTTTGAGAGGGTTCTTTCTGCCCGCATCGTCCGGCACCTCTGCGAGGTGGGCCCCGATCTGTCGGACGCCCAATTTGGTTTTCGGGCGGGGCGTTCGACGGTCGACGCCGTGTTGCGCCTGAGGGCCGTGACCGAAGAGGCAGTGAGCTGTGGCGGCGTGCTGTTGGCGGTGTCATTAGACATCGCCAACGCATTCAATAGTCTGCCATTCAGCTGCATCAGGGAAGCACTCCACTATCATGGGGTGCCAAAGTACCTGAGGCGGCTAGTGGCAGACTATTTAGAGGAGCGTACCGTCGTGTACGAGGACCGAGAAGGTAATCTGAGGTGTCGGCCCATGTCGTGCGGTGTTCCACAGGGGTCTGTTCTTGGACCCCTCTTGTGGAACATAGGGTACGACTGGGCCCTTCGCGCCGATTTCCCCCCCGGGCTGGGTGTAATCTGTTACGCAGACGATACCCTCGTGACAGCCCGGGGGGCAAACTTCCAAGAGGCGGCGCGCCTGGCCACAGGGGGAGTCTCCCTGGTGGTCGGGCGCATTGAGGCGCTGGGCTTACGGGTGGCCCTAGATAAGACGGAGGCCCTGTTATTCCATGGGCCCCGTCGTGGTCCACCCCCTGGCGCCTCAATCGTGGTCAACTCGGTCCTCGTACCGGTTCGGGCCCAGATGAAATATCTGGGCCTGATCCTCGACGGGAGGTGGCTCTTCGACGAGCACTTCCGACAGCTTGCTCCAAAGCTGGTCGGCGCTGCGTCTGCCCTAGGGCGACTCTTGCCCAATATGGGTGGACCCAGCGTCGCGACAAGACGGCTGTACACGGGGGTTGTCCGGTCAATGGCACTGTACGGTGCACCGGTGTGGGCGGCGGCTCTGACCGCCCAGAATAGGGTACGCCTCTGGCGCCCTCAGAGGGTAATGGCGGTCAGAGCCATACGCGGTTACCGCACCGTTTCGACGGAGGTGGCGTGCGCGTTGGCCGGAACTCCCCCGTGGGATTTGGAGGCGGAAGTGCTCGCCGAAGTTTATCGGCGAGTGGCTGACTACCGGGCGGAGAGCGGATTTCGCCCTCCGCCCGAGGATGTGCGCGAGTGGCGCGAAGCCGCTCGCCGAGCCACGATGGCTCGTTGGTCGTTCCGGCTGGAGACTCCACGCGCTGGCTTCGCCGCCGTGGAGGCTCTCCAGCCGGTCATCGCCGAGTGGGCAGGGCGGCAGCACGGGACCCTTTCCTTCCGGCTGACGCAGGTGCTTTCCGGGCACGGTTGCTTCGGAAAGTACCTGCACACGGTCGCTAGGAGGGAACTGAGTCCCGCCTGCCACCACTGCGACTGCAGTGAGGACTCGGCCCAGCACACGCTGGCGGTCTGCCCCGCATGGGCGGCGCAGCGCCGGGCCCTCACTGCAGTCATCGGAGTGGATCTCTCGCTACCGGCCGTAGTACGCTCCATGGCCGGTAGCGACAGTTGTTTTACCGCGGTCGCAACCTTCTGCGAGGTAGTAATCTCGCGGAAGGAGGCGGCGGAGAGGGCCCGGGAGGACGACCTCCACTCGGACCCGATCCGCCGCCGGCGAACCGGGCGGCGGAGGCCCGCCTATCACAGCCTCATACCGCCCTGAGTGTGGCCGCGGGTGGACGGGGTGGGTTTCCCCTCCACCCGCATTAGTTTGGCCAGCCGCGAGGGGGCGGCGTCCGCGTGTGCCGGACGTCGCCTATAAAGAGAGGAAAAACACTGAGACGGAGCCCGCACCAGGAGTGGGCTGGCGCTAGGAGGGGTCCGGATGTCTTAACAACAGCTGTTCCCGGATCCCTCCTGTTACAGGCGCAGAGTGGCACACCGTGTGGTTTTAGTCGGTCCGAGTCCGACACACCACCCCGCCGCAAACCCCGGAGGGGTGACGGTCCGAGGGGATTTCCACACGTAAAAAAAAAAAGGGTTTGTGTCAAGTTTGCCTTCTCTCTGCAGTGCTGTTGTTTTGCGTAGTTTTTTCTCTTAGTAGGATTACTAGGACTATTAGGATTATAGGACTATAGGATTATTAGTATAGGATTACTAGTTACTTCAGAATTCTTTTATTCATAAAATATTTGTGAAAAACTTAGTTTTATTCGTGTGGGTATAGTTTCCGTTTAGCCCCAAGAGGAATAAATACCACCTATGAGTGGAAAATTAAAGAATTCCAATTCATCATGATTTTTTAAAAGTTAATTCTTTATTTTATAAACTTACACAAATCTGATGAAAATTTACTTAAATGACTGAATCTGTTCGCTGCAATGTTTGTACGTTAGCTTTCATCGACCTTTCTCTCCCGACTTTATACAGACACACACTGTTTTTTATCATTAAATCTAAACCAATATACATTACAAGAATTTGAGGGTAAATAAATATGGAACGCAATCTCCTGACATAAACAATACCTACATACCGTCATTCCTACTCTTGGATTTGAAGCGCGTTTACTACAGCAGATTTTTTTAGAATTCTAGTTCATCATCATCATCATCAACAGCCTATAACAGTCCACTGCTGGACATAGGCCTCTCCTTAGAAAGGAGGTTTCGGCCTACTATACCACGCTGGCCAGACGGGTTGATACAGAGTTTGTTTAAAGTTTTCCTTCTCTTTGCAGTGCTGTTGTCCTGCGTAGTTTATTCCCTCAGTCGGCTCTTACGACACCCACGGGATGTATAGGGGTGGTGATAATCCGTATTCTTAATCCGTCACCACACGGTGTTGAAACTAGTTCTAGTTGTTGAAACTGAATAAAAAGCCTAGATAGTGGCTTTTTTTAAGAGGTTTGTTATGCTAATAATGTTGGAATAGCGTATAAGCGCCACGGTTGATCCGAAAGAATTGAAAGTAGGAAGTCTAAAATGATTCTTGGCAGAATATTACCTCAACAAAAAGAAAACAAATATTCAAACTCTACCTTGCTTACTTCACAATGTATATTCCTGTATCTTTCAATAAGCCAGGAATACAGAAGCAAAAAGTTGATGCTACAGGTAGCAGCAAAAGCAGCATGAAATAGAACTCTCTTTCGCCAGCTCATTCGACGTGGTCGGCAAGAATTTTGGAAATAATTTATCTCCTTCCCACTTTTCCTCTTCTCCCAGAGGTAAGTACTGAAAATAGGGGAAATGAAGTACTAGTTGGTATTTAATAATAATTATCATCATCAATATCTTCTACATCTTATATTATGGGTTCCAAACACATTTTTATAAATCTAATAAACTTATTTAAGCAATTTCGGGCGGAGGAGCGGGAATATTTACAAATATATACGAAAGGGACATTCTAAAATATCATTCCTAATTTTGGTACTAACTTATACGAAATAAAAATAGGTACTAACCATGAAAAAAGTGCAGATAACCAGAAACAGTAGAGACTGGCATATGTTTACTAAGGAATGGTCATTATCTGAAAAGTAATAGCAAATATTTTTTTTAGTAAAAAAGATCATCTCTTATTGTGTCTCGATAAAGTTCCAAAACGACGTCTCGAACAATGACAAAGTCCAGAGAACGCTCGAGAAATTTCCAAAATGTTCGTCGTGTAATACTGTACGAAGAACCGGTGCAAGACTATTCAGCAGAGGTTTAAAAATAAATATCCAACTTATTAGCCAAATAAAACACTGCACAACACTTTATACCGATAAAATTTTACAGTAAAGTTGTGAAACTTTATTCGATTACGAGTATATATACAGAAAACCGGCAATTCAATTCAACCGACAGTTGCTTTCACGGAATGAGTGAGATTACCACAGTTTAAAACCCCTCCTTCCCCTAAATTTCGGGTTCCTTCTGCTCTTTGAGTCCTCCACTCAAAGGACAGCAACACCCTTGTTACTCTTGACTTACAGGAGTTCATGAGCGGTGGTAGTCTCTTCCCATCAAGTAACTCGTCTGTTCGCTTGCCCTCCTGTGCCATAAAAACATATTTATTATCATTGAGTTCTATATAAAGTCGTTTCTGAGAATACAAGCTTGCCTAAACCTTTGCCTGGATAGTTTATACTATTAATTGGACCAGAGATATAAAACGACGTTATCGAGTTCTAAAACTCTTATATCATACTTAATTAAATTTTATTTAGTGTGATTTATTGCGTCCGTAAACACTTCAGGAGTTTAATAGATCTGATGGGTTACGCTGCACCCAAGTTATATAAACTTTTAATGCGATAAAAAATTATAAAAGTGAAAGTTAAATCTAAGTCCAAGCAAAACGTGTATCAGGACCGCTAGTATCTCACAATGATATAATACATATGGTAATCGCTGTTAAAGCACACAATGGTAATCGCTGTTAAAGCTTAAATTTTTCTATTTATAGTTATGAGTCCACACTCCTAAATTTTATTTAAAACCGTTTTTACCATTCATTGAAGGCGATTGGTTTGGGTTTTCCATACTGTTGCAGTTCTATCCTGTTGCTGAATGTAGCTCATTGCTGTTTTTAAGATGGACATACTTTTATTTAGTACACAACCTTGAATTTTCACATCATGAATTAAGCTAATCCAGTACCTACTTCGATACCTTGTTGTCAATGTCACCTACAATTTTTATTGTAATTCCTCCGTCGTTTGGATCACAATAAATCTACCTGGGATTAAACGTATTAAATTGGAAGAAGTATAAATATCTGAGGAATGAAATTGAAGACGTGTTTTCACTCATGTATCACATCACTCCTTAAGATTCCTAAAAAGGCAAACTAAGGTCACAGACAAGCAATTTGTTTTTTTTTTCAAATAATTGTAGTGTATATGATATACCGAGCACACTATACTATTCAACCTTTTTTTATAGAATAGGGGGCAAACGAGCAGATGTGTCACCTGATGGAAAGCGACTACCGCCGTCCATGAACGCCTGCAACTCAGGAGTCACAAGCGCGTTGCCAGCTTGAGGAAGGACTACGCTCTTTTCTTGAAGGTTTGAAGGTCGTATCAGTCCAGAAATACAGCAGCCGATAACTTGTTCCACAGATTGGTAGTGCGAGGCAAAAAGTGTCTTGAAAAGCGCACAGTGGTGGAGCGCCAATTATCTAAGTGGTGGGGATGAAAATTTCCCCCCACCCGCTCCAAGAAAAGTAAATCAACATCCATTACCGCCATGAGACCAATTGCTATATTTTAAAAATATTAAGCCAGTTCCGAAGTATAGAAAACTTAAGAGAAGATTGGCATAAATCTCATGTGTTGGCCCATACTCTCTTAAGAAGCTTCGTTTAAACCGCAGATGACTTGGGAGCCCATCAAATTATTAGCACTAAGCTTCCCTTAAAGCCTAATATACCTAAAGAAGCAATACAATGCGAAAACAATACTTAAATAAGCAATTAAATGGTAAATATATTTTATTTTGTAACAAATTTTACGACACTATAGAATAGTTAGTACGTCTGTGTTTTCTTCGTGTTTAAAGATTGACTCCAATGTGATCCTGGGGACTAAAACACAGATTATCTTCTAAAGGATCGTCTGATCCGACACCTGTAATTAGACGAACAGCCAGGAAACATCCACAAGCGACTGCATTTTTCACAATCTGTTGTGTTTTGAGGTGAACCATCAAATGTTTCATCTAGTCGGTTGTCTGGTGAATATTCTGGTGAGTTACAAGGTCGCGTCAAAGAGTTTTCGATGGAAGATTGGGTAGTAGAGTCCTTGATTGGTTTGTCAAATGTCGTGCCCCGGCTAAGGCGCTGCAGCTGAAAATAATTTTAATTACAAGGATAACAGATTTTATAACGATTTTATTACCATTATTGATATAAAATGTAAAATTAAGTATTACAATTAACGCTTTTATAATTATGGAGATTAAAAAAAAGCAATCATTACTCTTGTCTCTGAACATTTTTCTGGTTAAACCATAAAATATGTACAAACATACTAAGGTTACACTGAGTTGGCAGTACACCAGTACGTTCCCTGGTTTGTAATCAACAACCACTTAAATGAATAATAATAAAGTTTTTTTTTATTTACAAGATGTGTGTAAGAACTACATTATTTCACGTAAATCACGATTGCTGCTTAAAAAACGATAACGTGTAATCCGAAGTATCAGTAACCGTCCAGTGATACAGGATATCAGCTGTTTTTTTTTTAGTTTTTAAGTTAGTTAACTCTGTACATGAATTAATTACATGTTTTTTTTTTTCAAAGACCAAAACCACCAGAAATATATCCTGTATCGTGGGGGACTTTTCAAGCACACATGATCAAAGAACACCTAGACTTAGAACAACAATTTTTAGATCACACAAAGTGTTGTGGTAGTGGTAGGAAGTGTCGAGATGCCCACTTAAACCAATAAGCTATCCATTATTTTTCACTAGCCATGAGACTTCAGTAAAATTGGCAACATAGCCATCATCATATCGTTTTAACCGTTGGGTATTCAGTACCAAACATAAGATCCCTCACTGATTCCAAGAAAACCGGTTAGAAGACGCCTGGGTCCACGGTCCTCATGTCATGCCTAACAGAAAACGGGTGCTAAACAGTCCTTTAATGGTTTTTACCAAGTGATTTGTTGAACATAACTAGTTAACAGAAGCCCCACAGTGCCCAGTGGTTGGACTGACTACCTTACTCCCAGAGCCTGGAGGGAAACTGAAATACCTTGGTAGCCCTTTGAGTTTCTGTCTGAAATGTCTCTAAGTTGCAAGTGTGAATAAGTGGAGTTGATCATTTACCATCAGGGTTACCTGATGGGTCACTGTCTACTCGTTGCCCCTATATCATTAAAAAATATGAATAAACGGTCTACTTACAGCTGGTACTTCTAATATCGAATTTAACTTTGGTAATTCTGGTATCGTCAGCTGACCTAGATATCTGCAACAAATTTCTACATATACATACTTTAAACAATTTGTATACTCATATTGAGCAGAATATTTGTTTTCCCACTTGAATTATATTTCAGTTGTTGGATGAAGAAAAGAAGACAAATTGACGCATCTCACACACGAATGTCTGATCCTCAGCAAGACAGAAACTGTGCTATTGTAATAAGACTGCTGATAAACATACTTAAATATTTCCAAAAACATTTATATTTAAAAGAAAATACACAGATACAGAACAAATGATCGTATTCATAACACAATTATTTGTTCTGGGTGGGAATCAAACCCACGTCCTCAGGTTCTGCAGACAGAATCAGTAACCACTAGGCTATCAGGTCAGTTCGATTCACGATACATTTAGTTGCTTAACGTGTTGATCGAATTGCACCTGTCGTGGTCAAAGATGGACTGAGATAACAGGGTCAAGATCTGTATCACTAACTCTATTTTCAGTTGTTACCATCGGGATGTGTCTCTTTTTTCTTTCTGAGGAGTAGACGTAATATTTGTTTGAACCAATAAAGTCGTCACACAATTTAATGGCAGACTAAATGGATAAGTAGATACCTAAATATTTGAAACAACCATTTAAATAATATACCTGTAAGACGAACATACAATTCGCATGAATGTACCACCAGAACAATCGGTATTATTCTCACAAATTACTCCGGGGTCACCTAAGGGATAGAACTGCAAACGAAAATAAAAGATTAACCTTAAATTCGTAAACTGTACTATTATTATTATTATTTAAACTTTGTTTTATTTTTGCGATAATCATCGTCAACAGCCTTTAATATTTCAATGCTGGACATAGACCTCTCCTTAGAAAGGAGGTTTTGGCCTACTATAGCACGGTAGCCAGACGGGCTGTTTCAAATTTTCCTTCTCTTTGCAGTGCTATTGTCCGGCGTAGTTTGCTCCCTTAGTCAGCTCATACGACACCCATAGGGGTGGTGACACTCTTTCTTATTCCGTCACTACACGGACAGGATTTTGCGATAATAATCCTATCTTTATCGTTAGGCGATGTTTGATTTAAAATAATCAATTTTTATCTTTTGTAAAACTTTCTTATGCTCAATTTACAAAACCACTAACAACTTCTGCGAATACTTTTTATACGAATTAAAATCGTCTTTTCGACTAACAAGCAGACAAAGCCGTGGGTAACAGATATTTTATAATATGTTCATTTTCAACTAACCAGAACCCATAACAGGATCAGTAGAGGCAGTAAATATTTGTAGTACTTCGCAAAACTATATCCGGGCTCTGAAAAATGATTAAATAATAGTTAAATAATTTATTTCTTTAGACTTAAAACATATTATGTTGTACAAAGACGGGCTTCATGCCATGAGGCATTCTATCCCAGTCGACCTTTAGGTGATGTAGAAATATGATGCTGGCGGTGCAAAGATAAAAGATTAAATGTGCCTTAGTTCATTAACTTGGTAAATAAGAGATAAACCTTCATTCATTCCTTATTACATATATATTATTATATGAACATTGAAATTCAGAAGAATACACAATACATACAAGCTATAACATACAGCAAATTTAATATTAAATTTGCTAGTGCATACGACTGTTCTGCCAATTTGCCAAGAAATTTGCGTTCTTTTGTCTTGGTAAAAGCCGGTTTGTGGACATCCAAACGAAAAAGTTCTAAAAGTTTCCTGCATGACTTGTTATATTTTCCAAACATGTTTATAGTATAGAATTAATGATACAACTTTGGGTATAGATAGCGATGTGTATCATAATATATTTGAAATATCTGTCTGAAAACTCATGGCCATTTTTTTTTAATTAACAGATTGATACAATGGCATCATTTATTATACCACAACATTGTTTTGATGTGGGTCAGTATATCTGTTATTAAATACTAAAAGGTAAAAAGGGAAGGAAGCGAAAACAAGATAAAGAAAAAAGATGGAATAGAAATGAAAGTGAAGAAAAACAAAAAAGACTGGTTAAATTAATAAAAAACGCACTACTAAGAAACAGATGTTATATAATAGCCTGTAGCCTTCCTCGATCAATGGGCTAACCAACACTGTAAGAAGTTTTCAATTCGAACCAGTAGTTTCTGAGATTAGCACATTCAACCAAACTCTTCAGATTTATAATATTAGTAAAGATCATAGTGTAGGGTTAATTATATAGTCACTAAAATTACACAACAAATCGACTTAACGACTTAGACTTTAACGTGTCGCAACTTGTTCAGAAATTCAAGGAAATAATTACCTATGCAAGGACAATAACAGTAATAGCAGAGATCTTCTCTTCTTGGCCTATCTCCCATATCAGTAACTTCCATCACCGTACGTCACAATGTGGTCCCGACTAAAAATGCATTTTTCTCTCGTATTAAGAGTTTCTCCATGATTCATATTATTAAATTGTTCGAACTATCTCAATGCAAAATATTTTGCATTGAGACATTTTGAGATGTTTATAGTTGGGAATATACTGGTGTCAATTTCATTTTATGTTATTTTTTATTGACAACCGTGGATAAATAGACTGTATAGACCATAGATAGCCATACAGCTAAATTATGTATCAAGGTTGGCACAAGTTTGAGTTTTACCGAAAAGTCCAACGCCTAATGCATGTTAAACCGATTATAACTCAATTCAAATAGCAGGTATATATATAGCCCTCACTTGGTAATCTTTTTCTAGACCATATGATTCCCCAATCTGACTACACGGATAGCGTAGTGGTTTAAGCGGTTACCTCACCGCTTCCTAGCGCGCCGAGTGTTGTGGGTTCGATCCCCACATGAGACACTATTTGTGTTATCAACAAATTGTTTCTCTGAGTCTGGGTGTTGTTTGTGTCCGTTTCATGTATATTTGTAAACTCCCCCCCGACACAGGATTTATTCCTAGAGCGGGAGTTGTCTTTTTAAAAATGAAATGAAAAATGAATCCATCCGTATCAGCCATATCTCTTTCCTACCATGCCTTTCCTCCTTATCAATCTTTCCTATTATTATACATACTCTCAATTTTATTGTCCAATCCCTAAAGTACCCGATGGTATTAGAATTCCCCAAATTAAGTAATTGAGATTAAATGTAGCTAGCAAAATGTAGGGATTAATTATGACTCCTCTTCTCCCGTGTCCGATTAAGCCGTCACTTTCCAATCGAGCCCTGACATTAAACTCGAGATCATTTATATGAAATCTAAAAATATTCTGTAGAACATACCTGTCTTAATTCTTAATTCTGTAAAAAAAAATATAGAAAGAAAAGGGTGTTATGTCCCTCAAAGGGAGGATCCTCCGACTAGGCGAGATAATCCATGCCTGGCGGATCGCTGCCCATCCAGCCGATCTCATCGGTTGATTATGTGTGTATACTAATCTGGGCGAGAACTTGCATTGCGCGGTGCAGAATTAGTCTATTTGACAAAACAGAGATTGTTGCTTTTGTGTGTGTTGATCTATGACTTTAGAGTCTACATGGAAGACGATTTCAAACAATTTTGGAAATTTTATGAAATAAAGAAAGTTTGAGTTTGAGTTTGAGTTTGAGTTTGAGTTTGAGCAATTACTCCGTAGTTCTGTCTTCGTTAGATATTATTAAAGTATAATTTTCGTTGTATGTGAAACTCGCTACTTATAGAAGTAAGTCTAGTCAGGATTAGATTAAAAATCTTCATAAGCAGATAATCTTTTAATTCCATCTAAACACAACAGAAATATTAATTACTAGTGACACATTCAGTTCAATTTGTGTTCAGTGACATTTACGTCTATGAACACGCGAACGCATTTCGTTTTCATCATATTGTGGTAACATGCTGTCTCCAGTCGTCTTGCAGCTGATCCCATCGTCCAGTTTACCAATAGAATCAGCGTCCGAACTTTTAGATATGGAATCGATTAATACTTTCACATGACTTGATTTAGAGAGACCAATCTGGTCGGCAATAAATGCGAAGGGCTGTAAACGAAAATAAATAGAAAAATTATAACCTTACTCATCCTAAAAATGCCCGTCTCATCCCAAACTGGGCAGAGCCAGCGCCATGGTAATCAGATTGCTGAGAAACATACATAATTATTTCTAAATACATATATATTATAGATTAACTTTATCCCAACCAGATACAGAACAAACATATGTTAGGAGTTTATGTATAAATTACTATTTGATAAGTTTTTTATTTGGCATTAAAGTGGGTTTCGTGTTATAGTTCATCAATAGCCTGTAATAGTCCACTGCTGGACATAGGCCTCTCCTTAGAAAGAAGGCTTTGGCCTTCTATACCACGCTGGCCAGACGGGTTGGTATAGGGTTTGTGTCACGTTTTCCTTCTCTTTGCAGTGCTGTTGTCCTGCGTAGTTTGCTCCCTTAGTCGTCTCTTACGACACCCACGGGATGAACAGGGGTGGTGACACTCTGTATTCTTAATCCGTCACCACACGGTGTTCTAGTTATTTTCACTAAATCCTGAATCATTAAAAATCGATTTTGCTACTAACATTTTAAGATAGACCACGATAATAATCAATTATCATTGTTTAAGGATGGTGTAATCTTAAATCATGAAAAACAAGTTATACCAAAAGCTGAATGTAAAAGTTTAGTCCTTATAATCAAATTTCCTGTTATCATCGAGCACATCATCATGATTAAAATGGTATCAGATCATCATGCCAAACCTGCACTTATCGAATCGGACGAAAGACTCAAATAGTATAAATCACTTACTTTAGAGAGTACATGGAAAATAATTCGACAAATGTAACAAAGAGAATCGATTATATCACAAGCGAGTAATCTGAAAGAAAGACATTTATTTGAGAAAGGGGAAAGAATACTTTTATGGCAACCTGTAATTTACCACATCAGTTAATATCTTATACAAAAAATCTATGTATTCATTCACAAACATCTTAATTATTCATTACGTTTGAGGTCATCATCATCATCATCACGTTCAGTTTGCTCATTTTCTTGTCGTTTCGTATTTAAAAAAAACACGGTTTTTTTTTAAACATTTTGCGCTGTGTGTCACGGACATTTATGAAACGGATACAAAGAACACCTAGACTCGGAACGACAATTTTTTGGATCACACAGTGGCGATCACACACTTAGCGTAGTAGGCCTGCGGCGAGATGATTGCTTAAACCATTATGCCATCTGCACCATCCGTACGTCAGGAACCAGGTTAAGAGATACCTTCTCAGAATAGATACTGAAAATAAAGTACCTTATTAGAGTGAAGTAGAATTGACAAAACTCTTGCAACATTCTGTTCATGTTGTGTAAAGGACATTTACAGTTTTTTTGATACATCAAAAACATCAAGATCTGTAAATATATCTTTAGTTAAAACTATCATTTTAATTTTTACTTCTTTTCATTTATATGTTTCTGAATATTGTGATTTTCTAATTAGTTTCCTTTTTAAATTTCATAAAACTTTACAAAGGCACAGACAAAGTATATCTGGTAGTCAGAGGGGAGGGGGGGACCCAGAAGGCAGTAACTCACCTGTGTCTCTTAAGTTACAGGCATCCATGGGCGGCGGTAATCCCTTACTAGCAGGTGACCGAAACCATGCTGTATACATATTATTATGTATAGTTGGAATATTCCTATTGGTAACCCTATATCCTTAAAAATAATAATTTACCATAAGCTACCTAAAACATTACCTTTTTCTATCCGGTAAAAACTCCTTTCCCGAAATTCCTTGTCCTCCCCATGCACTGATTTCGATATACATTTAAGAATAATAAAATAAAAATAAAAAACTAAAACTAACCACAAAAATTGGAAGTAAAACTGAAGCTAAAAATGACAGGTAATCTTTTGCCCTTGAATCACCATCTGCGAAAATGCTTTTCTTTCAATCAAAAAGTTACAAGTTATCAGCTGCGGTATTTATGGACCGATACGACCTTCAAACCTTCAAGAAAAGAGCGTACTCCTTCCTCAAAGGCAATGCGCTTGTGACTCCTGAGTTGCAGGCGTTCATGGGCGGCGGTAGTCGCTTTCCATCAAGTGACCCGTCTGCTCGTTTGCCCCCTATTCCATAAAAAGAAGTACAAAATCTTGTAATAATAGGGACCTCGAATAAACGATATTATACACCTGCTACACACTTTTCTGCATCATCCAGAACTGGAAGAAGATGCTTACGCCAGTAACTAATTCAATCATATCTAATGTTTTTACAGAAAGCATAAATAAATAAAATACAATTCCTGCATGTGAAAGAACAGAAGAATGTTATGATTCTTCTACTCTATACTTTTAGTCTGTTTACCTTCTTCTTCGATATCTATGATGTTACAATCCTCTTCCATGATTTAGTCATAAGGAGTAACATTTTTATTGATTGCCATTTTATATATTTGTTTTGCTGTATTTTACAGTAAAATAAATGTGTATTATAACGTAAGCTGGCTTATATTTGACATGTTTTGATGGTTATGTCACTTATTTAATGTTGATACCATAAACGAAAACGGTATATTAAATTAACTAAAAAGTTTGATGATACATGGCATCACAAATTTTAGCCATGTAGTATCAGCTATGCTTGTGTTCTGTCCATATAAAAAAAAATAAGAATATATATTATGGTTACTTAATTTATACACCATATTGAAAACGATTAATTGAATTTCAAAAGCTTCCCAATTGATTAAGCTAAATTGATAATTACGCTTATTTAAGAACACAGAAAGTACAGCGTATTCGTTCATTACATTACATTACATTAGTACTGCAGAAATATCGATGTTGATACACCGACAGTTCCCTTCGACAGAGAGAGACCTACACTAGTCCCAAAGATGACTAGTGACCGATCTAAACTAAGTAAAGCTTAGATTTTAGAACTCAGACTCATATTTTATCATCGAGTTAAAAAACTTTTTACGTATGATTGTGAAGAATATCTTCTTTCTGCCTTTAAAAATAATTTGTAGATATCTTGAACGTATTATTCGGTTGTTCGATGGACTGAATTATGTCTACCCTCGAGGTGCAAGCGCGGACCTGTCGAGGAAACGAAAAGCTATAACATCTGATACCTAACATACCATCTGATGGCCAACTCTATTACCAATCACTCCTAAAGATTGTAAGAACCTGAGGACTACGACAAATTCGATATTTTATCTTTGCACCTACCGCATCATATTTCTACATCACCTACATGAAGGTCGACTGGGAGAGAATGTCTCATGGCATTAGGTCCGCTTTTGTACAACATATGCATAAAGGTAATTAATAAACTTATAAATAAATAAGAAAGCGAGAGAAAAGAAAGACACTGAAACGATTTTTAAAGGCAACTCCTGTATATCCTGTGTGTCGGAGATTTTGCAAATATTCATGAACAAAAATTTGTGGATCACACAAAGTGTTGTCCCATGTAGGGATCGAAACCACAATGAAGTAGGAAGCGCCGAGGTGACTGCTTAAAACACTACGCATTCCGTGCAGTATTAAACACTTATTCTGATGATGTAAAGTTGGCGGTTTAAGATTGAACATCTTTGTAGCAAAACCGTGATATGTATAGCTTTATTGAACAGAAACTACACAGAAGTATGAACCTTATATTCTGGGGCAGGACAATAAGTGTTAACAAATCAAAAATAAGAATGAAAAATTAAAGAAACTTACTTACTTCAGTACATAAATCGGCAAAAATACGCACCACATCCCTAACAAACATGAACAATGCGTTTTGTAATCTGAAGATTAAAGAAAATAATATTAATTAAAATACATAAATATAAGAAGTTCAAGGTACTTATAGGAAAGAGAATAAACTAAGGAAGAGTTTTTAAAGCCGATGAGGTCAGAGTACTATGGTAAGAGATACTGCAAGACTTGGATGTGAAAATGGAACTAAGGCTGCAGTTTCTGAAAAAGGCCGGAATCGCGGCTTCATTATTATTTTCAACAGCCTTTAGTAGTCCACTGCTGGACATAAGCCTCTCCTCAGAAAGGGGGTTCAAGCCTACTGTACCACGCTGGCCAGACGAATTCCTATAGGGTTTGTTTGAAGTTTACCTTCTCTTTGCAGTGCTGTTATGCTGCGTAGTTTGTAGTTAGCAAAATATCTCCAGACCACTAAATGTAAATTATTATATTCGAGCAAATTTGTAACTTATTGTGTTGTCACGAGAGTCGCTATTCTTTAAACCACTTTTAAGGTGCATCTTTTGTATATTTAAGCACTAGAATGTGAAAGTCAAATTAACTAGATGTACCTAGCAGCTGTGATATAAATAGCGCGAAAGTATTCCGGCTGATTTTCCTTAGGGACTTTTAACGACAAGATCTGAAATTAAGTAAAAAAGGGTTAGAATATAGTTAAATTGTCCTGTTAATTTACAACTTGTTAACACCAGCAATGTATAAAAAATACAAATCTCGTAATATCTAAAACCTAACAACATTTTAATTTTCATTAATAAATAGTGATGAAATTTTAAATAAAGTAGCCAGGTCGAAACATTGATAATTTTAATCGTGAAAGAAGGGAAATTGGCGGTTAAGAGTCATCATCGTCATCATCGTCAACAGCCTTTAATAGTCCACTGCTGGACATAGGCCTCTCCTTAGAAAGGAGGTTTTGGCCTTCTATATCACGTTGGCCAGACGGGTTGGTATAGAGTTTGTGTCAAGTTTTCCTTCTCTCTGCAGTGCTGTTGTCCTGCGTAGTTTGCTCCCTTTAGTCGGCTCTTACGAAACCCACGGGATGAATAGGGGTGGTGACACTCTGTACCACCGCACGGTCCAGGAGTCATACTGTATAATTATGGTATTGAAACTACCTACTTGAAGATATCAGACACTAATAACCATACCGCCAAATAAGTGAACACTACCTGCTTGTACAATTCTGTACTAAGACGATGAACTAAGCATTACCTGTTCGGATCTTGGAAACTATTCGTAAAATATATTCAGCATCAATTTCCCTGCCTTCGTGATTAACATAAATTAAGAACTTCTTACATTTTTATACTCAAACAATTAATAAAAAACACAGATTGCGGTCTCTTTTCACAAAATGACTCCCGCAGATTGCAGTAAAACGAGAGATAAGATGATTTAAAAGAAGTACAATGAGTACTCAGAAGTTAACACACAGTTTACGTCATCATCACAATCCATGCCACTTACCATAATACCAGCTGATATCAGTAAGATCAGCATGCACCCTGTCGAATTAAAAGGCATAATTTATACATTTCCTTGATTAGCATTCAAAACATTAATCGATGTAATCAAAATGTAAAAAGACACTCCTACATCACATCAACAGCCTTTAATAGCTCACTGCTAGACATAGGCCTCTCCTTAGAAAGGAGGTTTTGGTCTACTATACCACGCTGGCCAGACGGGTTGGTATAGAATTTATGTCAAGTTTTCCTTCTATTTGCAGTGCTGGTGTTCTGCGTTATTTAGTCGGCTCTTACGATACCCACGAGATGAATTGAGGTAGTGACATTCCGTATTCTTAATACGTCACTACACTCCTACATTCAAATAATAATAATACTTCCTTTACTTCAGAATTCCCATAATTTCTTGGAATGCAATTTACCTAATAACGATTTTAAGTACATGTAATTGTGTACCTACACAAGTAATTAATGGTATGATGATCATGCCTATAGCAGGCCAAAACCTCCTTTCTAAGGAGAGGTCTATGTCCAGCAGTGGACTAGTATAGGCTGTTGATGATCATGCCTGTCTGCAATGGCACTGAGAAGACGGTGAGGACTACTGTATCCTCTACAGCAGTGAAGTGTGTATTCATCGGCAATTACACCAGAGGTAGTACACCACCGTCGCAACACCAAATGGTTGCATTGATTTGGCTTTTAAAGCATGTATTTGGCTTACACACAAGTAACATAACTATTAAATGGTAGTACAAAAATCTCTTCATATTACACTTCATAACCTCATCTTAAAATATGACAAAGGGAGGGTATTTGTAGTCAAAGATAGCTGGACCCATATTGACTATTACCTAAAACCTTAAATAAAAAAGAATACAAGTAAAATTACAGAATACTTCCAAAATGATTAAGAACTCGTTGAGGATGCGATGTTATTTTCAATTAAAGTTTGGATGAATTTAAAAATATAAATTTAGTAGGGTTTTATCATCATGATCATCAACAGCTTTTGCTATCCCACTTCTGGAACTTCACTTCCACTTTAGTTCACTTTCTGGCATCTCCTTAGAAAGCAGGTTTTGGAATACTATAGCAACCTTGCCAGACGGGTTAGTATGGTTGGTGATGATGATGATTCAAATATTATCCAAAATTAGAGTGAAATTTACATTAAATTCTAGGCTGTATACACACCATTTATTGGTATTTTCCTCCTCAGGCAAGAATGCCGAATATTCCGAGGAGATGGCATTAATAGTATTTACTATTTCCGTTTTTTCTCCTTTTACAAATACATTATGATCCGTAATTTACATGACTATATTTCAGCGTCGGTGTCTCTTCAACTGTGTTCTAGTTAACTTTCATTATTCATTCTTTTATTTTGCTTTATTGGTTTAATTAAAAATATTTTGATCCACTGACATTTATTAATACTATGTTTATGTCGCTCAAAAAGACGCATTCAGTGATTTTGTGAAAAGTTTCTGAATATAAAGATTTTACTATGATATAAGCATTCATAAATAATGAAAATCTTTGTACTGTAATCAGTTATAAAAAAAATACACTATCAGTTTTCGACAGTTTCGTATATTTAATCATTTGATTCAGCTTTAAGCCTTATACTTGATTAACTTGATTTAGTCTTGTTGTTAACGTGTGGAAATTCTCGTGTGCCCCAATGGGACTAACGGTAAAGGTACACTCGGATTAGAATTGACTCTACTTCAATGCCTAAATTTGAACACAGTTTCAACATTTACCGTATCCCCGATATCCGATTTCTCCTGCTTAGTTAACACTCTTCTTTCAACTTTTGTACAATAACCATAGCAGAAACCTTCGACAGTCAAGATATCTTCTTCTTCTTTGATCGTTTCACACTACTAAGTACCCGCACAACCCTAGAAAGGAAGTTTCCGCGAATTCCTGCAAAACTTAGATGCTCGACATGTTTGGTAGGGTTAGAAAAGTCTAATCAATCATCTACGAAAGTCTTCCGTACGTTTAGAGAATATCAATTCTGTGATTGGGCTAGCTTATTTCATTTCTTTAAAAACTCTTAGCAACGCTAACTTTTTTCCGTCTTTTAAAGTCCACAATACTCTTTGCAATACGCTTTAACGAGGGAACACACTTTTCCCTCTGAGCAGTATCTACTTATCCCATTTCCACGATGTTTTATTGAGTCTTCTTAATACATACATATATATATATAAATACACAATTATAAAAGACAATAAAAGGTCAGTTAAGTTACAAGTACGTTTATAATTGTTACGTGTTACATGTAACAATAGTTTTTATATCAGTTTTGATAGGAACTCGCATTTCGTTCAAATATTCAAATTTATTTAAGGCAAATAATCATTAAACTGAATTCAGTAAGACTAACACCGTAGTAGCTGCTGGACAATGAATCAGTGGTCCTTAAGACTTCTAAACTTTGTTGTGACGCCTAAATGTTTTGGACTTCAGAAGAGCTGTGTTTACAGTTTTCTCAGGACAAGACGAGCTGGAACAACTTGTAAATATGGAGCTATTTGATCCTTTTCCTTTATTTTGAGTGTCTGAACAAATTCTCATTATGTTTGGAGTTCTCTTAGGACGGCGCTTGAAGGCTGGGCAGTTCCTTTCATTTTTTATGAATATGCACAACTGTAATCGATAATAAACAGATCGACATTTTAGATGCTGTAAAATAAAATTGTGTCTAATGTGTATTACTCTTGAAGAAATAATGAAGTAGGTAGAAGTTTGAAAACCTTAATATGAAACCAAATATAAATTACATAAAGAATAAAGAGAACGGGGGAAGGAATTAATAAACTACTCAAAATTTTAAGAACCCTCACGATGATGATGAAATCTTACTGGCAATTGATTAATGAAAGACAAGCAACCAAACTGTGAGGTATTATTATAAAAAAACCTTCACTAATACTGCATTTTTTTATACAACTTGCATTAAAATCAAATAAAAACGTCTTAAAAAACTTACGTCGCTAAAGAAATCGACAACTATTTCCAATATCTGTTGAAAATAATTCAATGACGTTGTGATGAATCTGTAATTAATTAATAGGAATTAGTAAAAACTAGAATCTGTATGTACAGATATTAGTTACGAATGGTATTTTTATACCGAAAAGCCATGAGAAGACGTGCACAGAACAAATGAAAATGTTGCGCCATAAGATTAAATGGTTCGATTGTATGGAATGCGGAGGACAGCGCCATCTAGTATCGTATCCAAGTACATCTATTAAGATTGTGGTTAATACGAGTAGTTCTGATCCTTACAGCGCTAGATGGCGCTGCAAGTAACGCGTTACTGATTCTAGAACATTCTTGTTTGTCTGGAACGGACTATAGAATACTAGGGATTTTCTAGTAAAATTCAAAAGCGCTATAAAAGCCGTGTTGAAAATGTTGGCCGTTTGGGACAGTCTCGTTTTACGACACATCGGAGTGAATTTCTAGTGCGACTAACGAGATATGTAGTGATTTCTAGTTTATTAAAGTGAGTGTTTGTAAATACAGTGCAATAAAGTAATTAACCGACAACTTTTATTTATTATATATCCCACTCGTAACAATAATATGAAGGCCACGGAGTTTTGTTCAGTATAATTTATGTATAAATGTATGTATGTATTTATCATTATATACTCGTAAATGTACGTTTATCAACTGTCTGCTTACCATAACACAGAATGCCTAATTTGCGATCAGACGGACGAGTGTGAATCATATATTTTTCAAAGATAATGCATATTTAGAAAATAAAAAAAATATTTTCATAATAAGATAAGTACGTGAGAAATAAATATAAGTAAAACCCTCTAAAATGATCCTTAGTTAGTTAGTCCTTAGTTAGTAAAGTTACAAACATGAAAAAGGAATAATCACGGGAGCGGAGTTGCGGGCAATAGTTGGTATAATGTAGTACTGCATACTCAGACTATAACCCGGGCGACCGTCCTGCGGGGTGACAGACGGTGGCGGGGACGAGGTACTATAGTCTGAGTATGCAGTACTACGTTACACTAACTATTGCCCGCAACTCCGCTTCCGTGATTTTTTATTTTTCATGTTTGTAACTTTATAAATGACGAACCTCCATACAACCGTTTATTGCTTATTTTAGAAGTGAAATCTCCAATAATCCTTTCTTAATGGATGCTTACTACATAAGACGCATCAAATGCCAAAATTTCAAGTATAAGTGGTTTAAGCTCTGCGTTGATAAGTTAGTCAGTCAGGGCAAGTAAATTTATACATAGATACTACCTGGCTACGGGTTTCCCGAACACATGCAATAGCCGTGTACCAAAACTTGAAGTCACCGGACAAGGAGGATTTGTTGGATCCACTTGGATGAATGTGAACTGCAAGAATACATGGAAACATTCATATTTTAACTATAGCATCTATTTTATAACTTTTGCTCTCCGAATATTAAACTTATAATACAGTAAATTCATCTTATATCTAGGTCATATCTATTAAAGGTTTTTAACCGACTTCAAAAAGGAGGAGGTTATCAATTCGGATGTTTATACATATTTTCGGGAATAACTCCGTCATATATAGACGGATTATCAAAATTATTTTTTTGTTCGAAAAGTAGTTATTCCGAAATGGTCCCATTTAAATTTTATATAGATCTGATGTAGAGTTTCGGAGACAGACAACGGAACTCTTCAAAAAATGGCAGCAAAACAACTGCGATTACTGCTAGGTTTTTAGTGTTCTTTGTTCATCATCAGCCTATCGCAGTCCACTGCTGGACATAGGCCTCTCCCATTGCACGCCACTTAGATCGATTTTGGGCTTCTCGCATCCAGCTCCTGAGAGCCATCTTGCGCAAATCGTCACTCCACCTGGCCTGTGGGCGTCCTACACTACGTTTGCCGAGACGCGGTCTCCACTCAAGAACTCGTTTTCCCCAACGGTTATCGGTTCTGCGGCTAATATGGCCAGCCCACTGCCACTTCAACTTGCTGATCCGGTACGCTATGTCGGTGACCTTAGTTCTCTGCCGGATCACCTCATTTCTGATGCGATCCCTTAGAGAAACGCCGAGCATAGCCCTTTCCATAGCACGTTGAGCGACTTTGAACTTGTGGACCAGCCGTACCGTAAGTGTCCACGTTTCAGCTCCGTATGTCATGACGGGTAGGACGTCTTAAGGCACTGTGGGATCGACGATGAGAAGACTCGACGTAGCTTCCCAAACGCTGCCCAACCCAACCGAATTCTTCTGTTCACCTCGTCCTCGAAGTTGTTTCTACCTAACTGCAATGTCTGCCCGAGGTACACATAATTTTGAACAACTTCGAGAACGGCACCGTGTACCGCAATCGGTTCCGGTAGTACATGTTCGTTGAACATGACCTTGGTTTTATCCAAGTTCATCCGTAGGCCGATGCGTACAGAAGTGTCAGCTAAGTCATTCAGCATTTGCTGTAGGTCCTGCAACGTCTCTGCCATGATGACGATGTCATCTGCAAATCGCAAGTGAGAGATGTATTCGCCATTGATATTGATGCCACGCCCTTTCCAGTGCAGCGTCTTGAACATGTCCTCCATTGCATTTGTGAACAATTTCGGGGAAATAACGTCCCCTTGTCTCACTCCTCGATGCAATGGTACGGGCCTTGTTTGCTGATTCTGTACTTGGACGGACATGGTGGCGGCTTCGTAGAGACATCTCATCACTTTGATGTATCGCCAATCTACTTGGCAACGCTGCAGAGACTCCAGAACAGACCAGATCTCGATCGAGTCAAAGGCTTTCTCATAGTCCACGAATGCTAGACACAGGGGCTGATTATATTCTTCGGTCTTCTGTATAATCTGCCGCACTGTGTGGATGTGGTCTATGGTGCCATATCCGCTCCGAAACCCAGCTTGCTCCGGTGGTTGGAATTCGTCGAGTCTTCGCGCAAGACGGTTCGTGATGACTCTCGAAAACAGCTTGTAGACGTGGCTTAGAAGGGATATGGGTCGATAGTTCTTCAACCTGGTCTTGTCACCCTTTTTGAAGAACAAGACGACCACACTCCTACTCCACGCTTCTGGAGTTCTCCCTTCAAACAGGACAGCGTTGAAGAGCTTTTGGAGCTCCCTTAGTACGGGTTTACCCCCGGCCTTCAGCAGCTCTGTTGTAACGCCATCCTCTCCAGGGGCTTTTCCATTTTTCAGCTGTCCAAGAGCCATCTCGATTTCGTCAATGCTAACTTCTGACAGGTCTTCGGTGTAGTGACGTGTTAATGTGGCTCTAGAGTCCTCATTTTCGGGATCAGGTCGAGATGCATGCGAAGCGTATAACCGGCCATAGAAGCTTTCCACTTCCAAAAGGACTGCCGGCTTCGAAGCAACGACTTCTCCACTTTCTGTAGTCAACTTTGTCAGGTGGCTTCTTCCAAGAGATTGTACGAACACTTTTGACCCCCGATTTTGCTCGATCGCTCTTTCAATTGAAAGAGTATTGGAGCACCGGAGGTCGTGTCGTACGAGTTTACTGATCTCTCGGTTTAGAGTCCGCTTTGCCGACAAAGTGACAGGTGGGTTTTCACGTCGTTTCTTCATCAGCCCTAGGGTCCTTTCTGAAAGCTTCGACTTCCTGCCCTTACGCTGCATTTCACAAAATCTCATACCTTCTTCCCTGAGGATCTGAACCACATTTTTGAGGTTCTGGTTTACGTCGATTGTGGTTTCCACGGCAGCGAATCGGTTTTCCAGTTTTGACTGGAACGTTTCAGATCCTGTCATGGCTTGGAGCCGAGTTGGTCGGAGCCTGGATTTCATCAAACAGACACGTTCCGCCTTAAAGTTGATATTCAGAGAGCCCCGGACAAGTCGGTGATCACTACCGGTATTAAACCTATTGATCACTGAGACGTCTCTGAATATGTGCTTTCTATCCGTCATGATGAAATCGATCTCATTTCTGGTCATAGCGTCGGGGCTTTGCCACGTCCACTTCCTTTGGGGCTGTTTCTTGAAGAAAGAATTCATCAAAAACAGCCCCTCCCGTTCGAGGAAGTTGACCAGCATTTGCCCCCTATGATTCCTGCTTCCAAATCCATGGGATCCTACTACCGATTCGCCGCAATTCTGTACTCCCACTTTAGCGTTGAAGTCACCCATAACAACGTTGTAGTGGGTCTTAGTTGTGAAGTGGAGGGCCCTCGATATGTCATCGTACATATCCTCCACCTCGTCGTCCGAATGTGCCGAGGTCGGTGCGTATACTTGCACAACCTTGAGGCTATACCTCTCGGTGAGCTTGATAATGAGGTACGCTACCCTGTTCGACACACTGGAAATTTCCACAACGTTGTCAGATAGGGACTTATTTACCAGAAACCCAACCCCACCTTGGGATTGTTGGTCTCCCTCGCGGAAGTACATTAGGTGGCCTGACTCGAGGGTTATGGTGTCCTCCCCCTCTCTTCGGACTTCACATAGCCCTAGGATATGCCACCTAATCTTCCCAAGTTCCACCTCAAGTTGCGCCAGATGCGAGTCTAGCCGTAGCGTGCGTCCGTTGTACGTAGCCAGGGTCAGTCGGTTGTGGTGGCCTCCCGTAGCCCGGAGATTCTTCGCACCCCCTGCCCCGCCTTTACCGAGGTCGCCACCATGACCAGGAATAGCGGGGCCGCCGGGAACTGGGGGCCGTGGCCTTTGTTGCGTCTGCATGGGAGGGGTTTGCCCATAATCGCCACGCTGGGCAGGCGGGTTGGCGATCGCAGGGCGTAGCTTGTCGCACCGGTAACGCTGCTGCCCGTCACCGGCCTGTTGTATTTAGCTACGCCTATTGGGATGGATATATCGCCATCGGTCGGTCGCCAGAGCCTCGTTCGTCGTTCAGCAGGATGCACCGCGGGCAGGTGAGGTTGGCTTGGGGCGAAAGATGGTGGTTCGCCCCTCACACCCCTGAGGTGGTTGGTGTTCTTTGTTAGTATTGTTTGATTAAAGTTGGTTCAACTTTTTTTATAAAAAAGGATTTCTATTTGTGGATGATCGAGCCCTTTTTTAGATGCTTCCTACCTACCACGATGGCATCAGGCTCACAACAGAGCAGCGCCAAATAAATTGAGGATATAATTATGTTATGAATGCGATGATAAAAAATCAAACAACTTACCACTACGAAACCAAGAATCAGAGCTATCGGGAGGTAACGTCTTAGATATTTCTGTTTAATACAACCTGTACGTCTTGGCATCTGGGTACATTCTGCAATAAATATTCTAGATATCATTACAAAAAGATAGAAAAATTTATTAAATTAGACTTAAAATTTAGAGTCATTTTGCTCCATCCACGCAAATAAAGTTAATATAAAACGGGTTTCAGTATATATTTTGTTCCCATTTTAGTGGCATATCCATGGCATAACAAATGAGTACGCAACCTAAGCCTCTTAAAGCTTTTGAATTATCAGTCTGCTTTCCCCAAACCAGACTTTCGGTATTCCCTACTCTTGTTGTTGTTGTCAAGTACCTTGTCTTGCTCGTTTTCTTCACCCTTATTTACTTTCTTTCTTTGACCCGTCTGATAACCAATAGATTCCTAGGAATAGATAGGAGGCGGACCATAAAAGAATCCAGCCAAAACTCTACATTATAAGATACATTGCGAAGACCCTAAATAGAATTAAGCAGAAGAAGAGCCGTAACATGATTATGTTGATGATTAAAGTTTATAGGATCCCGAAAACTATAATTTTGAGATAACTCAGAGTTTTGTATAAATAGATTTCTATGTCGTATCGGTTGATGGGCCAGGCTTTCCCTATATATCCCGGATAAGATTCGATATTGGTCCTAATAATTGAAATGATAAATACACATCAAGGAGACATGATTACCTAGGGCATCTGCAATGGGGCATAAACAGTATTGACACGATGCCATACCAATTTATCCCATTTATTATAATCTCTGTAAGTATAGTTATGTTGTGGAATTCATATTTATTTATTTTTCAATATTACTGTCTATTGTGTTGTTAAATACAAGTGACATATTTCCTTGGGTAAGTGTGACAGTCTACAGATTTATTTTTGTTACTTAGATTTTTAATTTTATGGCTCCGATATTTGTATGATGGCGATTTAGTTCAAGATGATGTTTATATATACATTACAGCATACCACCTCTATACTTACAACAATAATAGTCGATAGCTGCAAAAAAAATTAAAGAAGGTTTATCTTTAGCGCAGCCTTCATTAGGAATCATCACCACCATTATATCTGACTCTGATGACACTACTTTTATTTTTGCCTGGGACTGGAACTTTTAAAACTTTTTGCCACATTCTTCTTTTTAAAACCAATAATTTTTAAAACTTGGTAGTAAATTCGTGTAATACTACGAAGTTTATCTTTTTTTTTTTTATAGACAACTCCCGCATTAGGAATATATCTTGTGTCTCGGGGCACTTTACAAACATACATGAAACGGACAAAAAGAATACCCAGACTCAACAAAAATTTGTGGATCACACAAAGTGTCGTCCCATGTGGGGCTTGAACCCTCGACACTCGGCGTAGTAGGAAGCGGCTTGGCGACTTCTTTAACCACTACGCAATCCGTATTATAGTTAAACCGCCGTAAGCTTGGCCCTCCTGATGGTTTGCGAGACGCGGGGCGGGTGATGCGCTCGGCTATACATGACACGATGTACTAACTCGGTATCTTCAGATTTATTTGTTTGAGATTTAATCTACACACGATTTAATAAAAATCGAATCTATTTCCATGTATTATAATGTCAGTGTATTGTAAGTTTTTATGATTAATTGTAAAATTTAATATTGTAAAATAATTTTAATAAAATCACCTTATCTTCATCATGTAAATTATATTCAGATACAATTTAAAAATTAAGTAAAATAATAAATATTCTTTATTAGAACTTTAACAGTAGAACCTCTGTAAGCCGAACTTCAAGTTTTTAAATCTTTTTGTGACGCAGAGTTGGCAGATTATCCATATTGCTAAATAATACCGTGTGTAGCAGTCTTAAGAAAAATAACACGTACAGCCATGCTTTCAGGTCAGTCACTGCCGGCGGACAGCGACGCACTAGCTAATTAGTTGAATGCACCCCCGCCCCGCGTCCCCCAAACCATCAGGAGGGCCAAGCTTACGGCGGTTTAACTATAGTCGCATATTATTGACAAGCTGACCCGTGTAACTTCGTCTACGTATAAGGAATAAATTTGCCGCGTTCTTGTAACGTTTACACTGATAGTTGGCACCTAATGGTCGGCACCTGATATTATAGGGCCCATAGCCTTTATCGCTAAAATAATTTTTCAATTATAATCATCGGTTCCGGAGATTAGTGAACCAACGAAACAAACAAACGAACTTTTCAGCTTTATAATATTAATATAGATACTACGGTCATACATTTCATATACAAAAATATTTTACCTTTAAAAATATTTATCTTTGAGACTGTTCCCATAATCTGGATAATCCAACAAATTAAATTAACTCAATTTTTTTTAATCACAAACTGTTTAAAACTACAGGTCTACTTTAAATAAATTGTTTGTTTAAAGTAGAACTCACACTGCGTACAAAATACACAACATGACCATCTGAGTATCATCTCCTGCACCTCTAAATCATCAAAACCTCTCTAAATATTTAAGAAATTTTGTTAAGTATAAATATATGACACAGCTATTCTTACACATTGCAACAGTGCCCAAAATCGATCTAAGTCTATTAGGCCTATGTCCAGCAGTGAACTGCGATAGGCTGATGATGATGATGTTGATGATTGCAACAGTTAACAGATTTCTTTTTAAATCGAATTAATTGATATTGATTTAGAATGTCATACTGCTATTATGAATGTGTTTTTTTTGCTAAAAGAATGTTCGTTACTCAATTACGACAGGATGAAACATGGGACACAGATGGATGGCGTGTAAGCTACTTTTTATCTCCAAAATTTGTGATTACAATTTTTGTTTCGTTGTAAAATATCATTTCGGTTTTCTTATTATTACCCACGCTCTATGTGAAAAGTCTCTTTAAGTACAATATTATAAGAAACACACAAATTTTCCAGTAAAAACTGGTTACAGAGCCACTTTTTTTGAGAACAATCCCTATATACCATGACGGAGTTGTGACCGAACATGGTTAAAAAAAATAACCGAATTGTTAACCCCCCCCCCCCTTTAAAGCCGTTTAAAAATAATATGGAATGAAACTTAATTTGCTATTCTGCCATCATGAGGAAAAGAAACGCTTTTACAATAATTTTTATATTAAGTTATTTAATTTTAGACTTTTTTCTTAGCGTCTGTATTGTACATCATAGTTCTTTACGAATGAGTTACAATGAAATTATTCCAAATTATCGAAATTTACTGAACAAATAAACATATCCAGATTATTGCTGTTTACTTTTGTCCATCTTCTTCACTAAACTTTCTTTGGGACAACCACGAACACAGACTAACCCTCTGGACATGCAAGTTGGACATGTATATAGTGGCGGACGTTCTGGTGGGCCATTATTAATGAATTCTTTTATTTCTCTTTCTATGGAAGCAATAGACTGTGGTTCCCGTGTTGAAACAAAATCTGAACTTTCTTGAGGCGTTGGTGTCGGTGGTTCTTCTCTTATAGTTAATGCTGCACTTGCATGCGTTTCCACCGCTTTTTCATGGTGTAAGATTGGTTTTATTACTGGTGGTAGATTGGCAATAGATGGAGTTTTTGAATGACTTAAAGGAGATGGTTGAGTCAGAAGATTTTTAAGGTTAGAAGCACTAGATGTAGCTGATAGGTTTATTGCTTGAGGAGGGCCCTTGTTGGGGTGGTATTTACTAATTTCGACGTGCTTGCTCACAGCACTTGCTTTATGCGATAGCCCTTCTGCCGTTTTGAGGAAATAGAAGTTTTCTTCTGAATCTATCTGTAACAGAAGATTTTCTATATTTTTATTTGCTTACTAGATATTTTCCTTATTTGGAAAATCTCTAGAAGAATAGTAATAAGGTTTTACTCACTTTATCTTTAAACCCATTTCAAAATAACAAGCGCAAAATGTCTCTTTTGGGGCAAAATAATGGTTTGACACAAACAAAGACTGGATCAAAGTATACAACTATAAAACAGGTCACAGATGGAAACTGACCAAAGTAACTAAGAAAGAAGTATGTATGTTATTACCGTATCCTCTCCCAGGTATTCTATAGTATTGGGATACGAATTAACCAAGCGGGTGTACATATTTCCTAGCTGTAAAATAAATTTAGAATTAAAATAATTAACCTTATTTTTTGAATAGACAGTAGTAAAATGATAATAACAACAAAGTAAATAATCCTCAAAGTTTTAACCAATTTCAGTTTGTGTGTTATTATTTCCAAGAATATCTAGAAATGTCTGTTTACAAAAGGAGTTGACTAAATACTCGTACAATCGGCTAGTCTTTTATCTTGACATTTAGTATCCTGCTGTGGCGACTTCCACATAAAAAAAAGTGTACTTCATTACATCTAAAGAAGACATGCGGAGTAACTAGAAGTTATTTCTGCATCGCGCAATGAAAGTATTCGCCTCGATAAGTATATAAATAACTTCTCAACATCAACCGAACGGACCACCAGGCGTGATCACCTCGCCTGATTGTAAAAAAAAAAAAAAATTGGTTGAAAAATATACCATTTGAAAATATTGAGAATCGAGGACGGCTTCTCTGAAATCATTGTACATATTTTCTGCTGGCTTCGTCTTGCTGTGAAACATAGGACGTATTTGATTAAAATTTCATCAAAAAATTTCATTATACAGTTGACGGTTCTGTTAAACAATGAATACACGGCCTCACAGAAAAAAGGTGTTAAGCAATTCTTTCGTTGCCTTTCACTGAGTGAGGTTACCGGAGCCCAAATCCGCTGACTCGTGCGGGAGGGAATCCAAGGGCAGCAACGCACTTGTGACTTGAGTTGCAGGTGTCCATGGGCGGAGGTAGCTGCTTACCATCAGGTGACCCGTCTGCTCGTTTGCCCCCTTATACCATAAAAAAAGAATATTCAATAACTTACGAGTGTTAGAGGAGAATGTAAGAAAAAAAACTTGTTGCCCCGACCCCAAATAAATTTGGGAAAAGGGTAAGAATTAAGATTACTCTATTATAATTAAGTCTATTGCAGCGGATACCCTACAAGATTGCTAGGTAGGTAGGTAAGACGCTATTTAAAAGTAAATCTAGTATTTTTATTTATTATTATGTAGGGAATGGTAGCTAATAACCGTTGTTTCCTCATGGACCAACTATGTATGCACAACTAGTTGTGTCATGAGGAATATTTTTTTTAAATCATTCCTATTGGCACAACTAAACAATTTTCAATTAATATTTGTTCCTAGATGCACAACTGATTACAATCGGTGTACAAAGGTTCATCGTTATGGTTATAAGTTCTTCGTTTTCTGGCGTAGACTTAGACATGCTTACAGTCAGGATATGCGCCAGCGTATGCACGAAAATAATATATCAATATTTTTTAAATAATTACTGATAATAAATAACATGAAATGGCATTTATAATTTTCTATTTGTTAACATATAAAGATATGACAGAGGTGGCCAACACAATCATCAATATCTGAAGAGGTTAGTAATAATCTTATTTATTTCCTCCTGTAGTTGTGCTAAAAGGAATGGTTTTAGTAAATCAGTTGTGCTTAGTTGTGCATAGTTGTGTCATTAAGAACATATTCTGGGATGGCACAACTAGTTGTGCGTACATAGTTGGTCCATGAGGAAAACGGGCTAATAACTGTAAAAAAAGCTAAGCAAGTAACTGTTAAATGGGCGAAATAGGATCTTTATGCATCGTCTGACAGCTTATTAGCACCAACGCGTGATTAAGTAGTAACCCTAATCTACATACGAGAAAATCGAATGATAAATCACCGTTCATTCACAGTTCACTGTGGGTTTGTCCCATGTGTATTTCAATGACCGTGTAGTGACGGATTAAGAATACGGAATGTCACTACCCCAATTTATCCCGTGGGTGTCGTAAGAGCCGACTAAGGGCGCAAAACAACGCAGGAAACCAGCACTGCAAAAAGAAGGATAACTTGACACAAACCCTATACCAACCCGTCTGGCCAGCGTGGTATAGTAGGCCAAAACCTCCTTTCTAAGGAGAGGCCTATGCCCAGCAGTGGACTATTAAAGGCTGCTGATGTGATGTGTGATGTGATGTTTATTTCAATCTATCCAATATCCCTCTAACACGGGTTCTCAGGTTCTATCTTCTTTATTTTCTCTAGCATATTAAATTATTTGTAAAGATACTCGCACCACATACCTGAATAAATTTTCAATCAAAGAGCAAGCACAAGTTTCACATGCGCAGAAGTTTTCAGATTGGTTTTGGTTATTTGGCGCCACTACTTCCTGTGTAGGATTAGGAGTAGATGGAGATGCAGTTATTTTTGTTTCACTGACAGAAGCCAGGATGGCATTATCAGTTCCTGGGCTATGTTCAGGGCTATTTTCAGGACCCTGTTCAAGGTTATGTTCAGGTCTATGTTCAGGGCCATGTTCAAGGCTATGTTCAGGGCTATGTTTAGAGCTATGTTCAGGGCTATGTTCGTGGCTATGTAAGTCTATATATTCATGGGTGATTTCAACTGCTTGTTTAAAGGTGTGACTAGTCTGTGGTATAAAACCGGACAATTTCTGTTCAAGGGGACCCTTAACTTCAGTACGGGGTCGTCGACATTGTAGCCTACAGTTGCCTGCAAGTACTTCCCAAACTACAGAAGCTGCGGTAGAGGCCGGTCCTGGATCGGATGCCTGAAGTAAATTAAATATATTTATTTAATTGTACTTAACGCAAAACGGTTATTAATATTAAATAGCAGAAGCTTTTTGACAAAAAATCGTCCTTAAATATTATAAACTGTACTTACTATTAAACATATTGTTACAAATAATAAACTAGTGAAGACAAGAAGGGCGAAAACCATTGATAGACTGATTTCATCCTGAAACAAGTACATCAATCAAACACAGCTCAATAAACCAGATATAATATATATGAAATAGAAAAACCAATCAGACGAAATATAAGAACTCAGCAATTATGTCGTTCTTTTCAACTATACTGCAATGGTACTCAAGGCATGGTCCAGGAAAAGCGGAGCATCCATCGTCGTACTTATACCTTCATATTTTTATAAATCTTTATCGATGAAATTCATCATTATCACAAACATCCTCAATAATAATCCGTCCGTATTCTTTGGTAATGTGCAAATGTTGATTATGATAAATGATAAAAATGGTAGGTACACTATTAAGTTTGAGTTAAAAATTTCAGTACTTCATTAGTATTAAATAGATTTACATGTTCTTGTCTTGTTATGATGCCATTATATTGTTTTTCTATTTGTTTGTATGTGTATAATTTAGTTTGACAGTTTCTTATGACAGCGATGTGAACAGAATTCAGGAATCGGACCATAAACTATGGATTGTGAATAAGACAGAATTATATTTACTTATATATAGATACACTATAGACAGGTTATGAAACCTAAAGAAAATAGAGTTTCTAGCAGAAAAATATTCAAAGTTGATGCCTCGGTCTGGTGTCCGGTCACAGGATGAACATATGCTCGTACAAGTAAACGAGATCCCGGACTTTGAAATACAGTAGTCTTAGTTCCTTTTCTCTTCATACCTAATTTCTCTTCTACGTTTATCCCTTCTATAAGTAATTGACTGCCCTGGCCTGGCCTGGCCGCTCCCTACTGCGATGCGTGTTGTGGGTTCGATCCCCAAATGGGAAAACACTTTGTGTGATTCACAAATTGATGAGTCTGGCTGTACTTCGTTTACGTTTCATATATGTTTGTCCTCCGCGATACATGTTTTTATTAAAAAAATATATTGCCATAAAAAGTAGCCAAATATGCAATTTTATACACATTGCCAAACCTAAATAAAATAGGTAGGGGCCAGGAAAATGATGGTGGATGAAGGATTTCTGACAATACACATTTAATATCACGTTCTTCCTTGGTCGCCACAAATTGTCAGAGAGGACTGACTCCGGCTGAGGATGAGCTATTATAGGCTGATAGACTTATTTCATTTCTGAATCTTATGTTACTCCCGCCGCGAATCCAAGATAGAATCTCATCTTAAAAAAATTAAGTACAGACAAACAACCAGAGTTACTTTGTCATTTACAATTAATATTGTAAATATTGATGGTAATATTGATTATCTAGTAATGTATTGACAGATGTGTCAGATTTCACAGTTTAGACGGGCAACCGGATAATTAAATATGATGTTATGATTACTAAATCTAGTACATACCATGTACATAAACGTTATGCTGGAATCCTATTGTTTCAGAAAATGAAGGTCTGAGCAGTGGTTGTGAAGCGAGCGTTGTACGAGAAGAGATAGCAAGAAACTATGCAGCACTCCAATCTCGTCTCAGAAGAGAGTTCTCGGACAGGCGTGATAAGCTGAATCCGGGTAAGCAGAATCATTCGCTGAATGTTCCATTCATACAAGTTACCGCTGATTGCAGAATACGAGTATGCACATAAATATATCTATTGGTTTAGTTTCTAATTATACTGTGTATAAATCCATAAAAATATATTATTATGTATTCGTGTACACATTTACGTACCGTCGAGAATCAAGCCCAAATAGTGTGTGAACTAGTACGAATACCGAGTTGACCTAGATTGAGGTCCCATGGGATAAAAAGACATCCATCTTTTCTAAGGCCATCCGCAAGCCGACCTCCCGATCGTTTAGATAGTTTGGCCAAGATAGATGTATGCAGCGCCATTTACCCCCACGGGACTTAGGGATACATGCCTATTTTACATGAATTTGGTCTTACCAATGTTCATCCCAAGACCCACTCGTCTTGCAGAATCGTCCAGACTGTTGAGCATTTCTTCCAGATCATGCAGAGATTCCACCAGGATCACTATGTCGTCTGCATATTGATTCCCCGCCCATTCCAATCAAGCGTCTTGAAGATGTCTTCCAGTAAACAGTTTCGCAGAAATAACGTCTGCTTGTCTTGGGGTCTTGTGCTCTGTTCTTGTACTTGGACGGTCATTTGGATATATCGGCAGGCAGCAGATTCCAGTACAGCTCAGGTCTCGATAGTGTCGTAGGCCTTCACGTAGTCCACATACGCAACACAGAGCGGCTGGTTGTACTCCTCTGTCTTCTCAATTATTTGCCTTAATGTGTTTATATAATAATAATATTCTACCACATTCACACAACGCCACCTAGTCCCAAACTAAGCATAGCTTGTAATGGTTACTAGACAACTGATATAAATACATAGATACTTTTTTTATAAATACATACATATTATACATAGAAACACCCAGACCAAATCAAACATTAAATGTTCATGCACACAAATGTTTGACTTGAGCGGGAATCGAATCCGCGACCTTTGGAATAACAGTCCATTACACATACCACTACGCCATCCGGTCGTCGAACGTATGGTCCTCGGTGCTGAAATCTTTTTGAAACTCAGCCTGCTCCACGGGCTGGAAGTCTTCGAATTTTTGGGCAAGACGATTCGTAATGACCCTCGATAACAACTTGTACACATGGCTCAGGAGTGATATGGGGCAGTAGTTCTTCAGGAGGTTTTTATCTTCTTTTTTAAAGAACAGTAACTTAAAGAACTACGACACTCCTGCTCCATGCCTCTGGTATAGTGCCAGTATGAATGACGGAATCAAACAGTTTTGAGAGCTCTACTAACACAGGAGTTCCTCCCGCTTTTAGGAGCTCCGATGTTATTCCGTCTTCACCTGGAGCTTGGTTGATACTAAGTTGCCCGGGGTTTCTTCGCACGGCACCATTACCGTCTCCAGGAATAGTGTGACTACCGGGAACTGGAAGACGTTGTGTTTGGTTGGAATCCATATGGGGGAACTTGACATAGTCAACTCGCCGGGTAGGTCACCGCAGTGGCGAGAAACATTTATCTGGTGACGCTGCCGCCCGTCGTCAGTATCGATATTTTGTGATTTCCGCAGTGGTGTGGTTAAACCGCCACGAGTCGATCGCCAGAGCCTCCACCACCACGTGCATGTGAGGTTGACGTTACGGGCCCTAAGATCGTGTTTGGCCCCGCCTACACCCTTCTACACGCTTTTTTTACGATAAAATGATTTATCTTTTTGAACTTGTAGAAAATTATTTTCTAACTTTAGTCTGCTAGTTACAAAAAACAGTTTTTTTTTTTGTTTTTGAAGTGAAACTTCTTTAGAATCGTAAATGCGTCACGATAAAGAAACAAACAAATGTATAGGATTAAGTCGGCGAGAGAATGAGATAGAATACATTACACATTATTTTTAATATAATATTTTGAGTGTGAATATTTTTATCTCTTTATTTAATACTAGCTGGTAACACGACTTCGTTCGCGTGGAATTTGAAAAACGCTGCTTTGGTGGGCTCGATTCACGGGTTGGGCAAAATTTTATAGGGTTTTTCTGAGATAAAAAAATAGTTTTTAGTCATTAATGATGACAATTTTCTCATTAATTTTAAAAAGTAACAAGTAAGTAAGTCACATATGCTTCAACAAACGCCTCTTATTGCGTAGCAAAACCGATTTTTTTTTAGGTATGGAAAAACCCGTTAATCCTGGAGATCCTGATCAGGATAATCGGCCAAATTAATCAAATTATTGTATTGTCATTGGTCCTTTATAAGTCTGCGAAATTTCATTTTAATTCGACGTTTTGAAGTGGGTCAAAATCACGTTGAAAGATTCCGTTACATACATAGACACATACATACCAACCTAATAAAAGCATGTTAAAAAGATTGGCCGTGAGTTTCTTTGCCCTTTCTTCTCATAAGGCTCAAAAAGGCCCTTGGGGCGGCTGTAGATCGGCACAGGCATATAATAGATTTTAAATACCTATGTATTTATTTTGCTAAATATTGGACCTAGCAGTCAATTTTGCTATTGTACGTGTTGGGAGTCTACATAAGAGACATTTTCAAACAATATTTTGACGTGACAACGTCTTATAATTCGATGGAGCCGGCTGCACGCACGAAAAAACATGACTCATGCGGCGTTACCTCGCTCTGAGGCGTTCCATTTAAGGCGTTGAAGTGCAAGCGAGAGCGCGGAACGAATGACAAAGAGGCACAATCGGCCTCCGCGTTCGGCAGCGTTCGACATCTGTCGCTCTCCTACTTGAGTGAGCGATGCGCCCGCGTGGACAGATGCTACTCGTATACAATAATACATTTTTGAAAAATGCAACCATTCCATCAGTATTTTCTTATGACGTTGTCACGTTCAACTATCGTAAGTAAACCGACTTTACAGACAACCGATTTTTTTTTAATGAAATAAAGACATGTTGAGTTTGAGTTCATATACCTAAAGTTTATATACACACGTCGTATACACAGCTATTCTAATTAAGTGTAGATTTTTATCAAATATGTACTACTTCAGGTATTTCAGGTGCTCGTCCTGTGGCAACAGAGGAACAACTATCGGCTGATTTTCGCAAGAAATTGGAGGAATGGAAGTTAAAGAAGGGTGTCAAGCAACCACTTCCAGTACCTGCCAGGCAGGACCTGAGCGAAGACTTTCTTCGGAAATGGGGTAAATTATAAATAAATAAAAAATATTATCACACCTCTCACACCCGGCCGTCTGATCCCAAACTAGGCAGAGTCTGTAGTCTGTACTTTAGTAATCACACTGCTGATAAACATATTTATATATGTCTAAATACATACATAATTATAGATAAAGTACACTCAGACACAGAAAAAATGACCTTGCTCATCACACAATTATTTGTCCTTGGTGGGAATCGAACCCACGACCTCTGGCGTAGCAATCAGGGTCACTAATCACTAGACCAACAGGCCAGTCTATTAGCAACTATTGTACTATGTACAGGAAATTTCAACTACCCGGACCTGCCACAGTTATTACAGCAGAGGTAGCAGAGTAGAAGGAGAGAGCAATATCCCTTCTATTCCTTTTCATTTCCTTTTTGATATATATTTGCCCATATTTAATTCTCAAACCGCCCGGTGCTGTGTGTGATGTGTGTGGTGAGGTGTGTAATTTGAAGTTGGTATAATTGGTGCTTAAAAGCCTCTGCCTACGCCTTTGGAGGTACAACTAAGCTTCTTGAACTATACTTATTTTATTTGCAAAAATATATATTTATCTATTTTTATGAAAATGAAGAAAAGTATAATGACTTACATTTTTACTTCAACCTATGATTTACTCAGGTAGTGGTCAAAGTTTGGCCAGCCTCGAGGGGGCGGCTTCCGCGTGTGCCGGACGTCGCCTAAAGATAGGAAAATTTTGAGACGGAGCCCGCAACAGGAGCGGGCCGGCGCTAGGAGGGGTCCGGATGTCTTAATAACAGCTGTTCCCGGATCCCTCCTATTACAGGTGCAGAGTGGCACACCGTGTGGTTTTAGTCGGTTCGAGTCCGACACACCACCCCGCCGCAAACCCCGGTGGGGTGACGGTCCGAGGGGATTTCCACACGTAAAAAAAAAAAAAAAGGAAGTGGTCAAAGCCGAGTTATTCACATATTAACGAAATGCAATGATATTATAATAATTAATAATTATCATATATATTTTTGTGAATAGATGAATGGAAACGTATGAAAGAAACCAACTCAGTACCAGCATGGGAAGAAGAGGCAAAACCTGATGAAGTACTGGTCCAAACGTCCACCGGTCTTTTCAAATTTCAAGGTACCCCTCTTTGTAACTCTTTTAAACTTTTAGATACGTTAATTTTACTTGTCAACTTAGTTTTTTAAATAATTGTCCACAAGCTGATTATTTTTAAAAGTAAATTTTTTTTAGAGTAATTGCCCATGAACAAAATTTACACGTTTTTAAAATAGTGGCTAAGATTATCCAAAATTACAACCAATAATACCAGTCAATAGGATAACCCGGTATTCGTCTTTTAATTATGAATGTGTGTACTTTGAACAATTCAGTGTATGCGTTTTATAATACTAGACGATATTACCCAGGAATCTCTCGTTCCTTCACACGTAAACTCCACGAGTGGGAGAAGTCCCGGGGCATAGCACCCGAAGCCTCCACTTCAGCATTGCTTCGAGCGGCCCGAGCGGGCAACAGCAAAGTTGCACAGGCTCCACTCACGAGGACCCAATCTGATGGTAGCGTCGCGCCTTCCGCAGCGGGTTCAGGAAGACATCACGCCTCCAGCCTTAGTGTCAATGACGCGGATGACTTCGGTGATGATTCGGAGTACGAGAGAGAACATTCTGTATGTGTCATGTATCACATTTTTATAATTCAATTATTTAACTAGGTTCAATTATCATGAATGGTCCTCATCCTAAGAGATAACTATAGTAAATTGAGATAACACACGGCCGTCTGATCCCAAACTAGCCGGAGTCTATACTATGGTAACCAGACTGCTGATAAACATACTTATATATTTCTAAATACATTTATCTTATATATAGAATTCTCGTGTCACAATGTTAGTTACCATACTCCTCCGAAACGGCTGGACCGAATTTTATGAAATTTTGTTTGCACATTGGGTAGGTCTAAGAATCGGCCAACATCTATTTTTTATACCCCTAAATAACAAGGGTGACCCACCCCTATTTTTTTTTAGAAGTAATGTGTATGGCAAAACAGCGTTTGCCGGGTCAGCTAGTATTATAGATAATTTACACCCAAACACATGACGGTGATCATCACACAATTATTTGTCCTGATTGGAAATCCAACCTACAGTCTCTGGCTCAGTAGTCAGGGCCCAGTCATAGCTAACCACTGGATCAACAGGCCAACCTATACAAATTCTTTCGTCTTTTCCGTTGTTTTAATTCTTAACAATCGCAATTAATTTATAAATTTGTTCAAAATATATTCGAAAATAAGAAAAATTCCAATTCACTACAAATAATGTATTAATGTCATTTAGTTTATTTCTAAAATAAAATAGATTTATATTGTTATTCAGCTCGATGGCGGTGATGATTGCGATGGTCCTCAAAGCCGTGGGGCTGTTCTCGTCGAAATCGAGGATGAAGAAATCTGTACAGCAGCTCCTTTAGTAGCTGTATCTCCTCGGCACACTCCTCAGAAGCCGGTGTATACGTACGGTCAGGCTGAAGCTCGACTGCTGTGCGAAACTAACTCAGCTGTAACCGGGACAGCGGTATTGCAACCTAACGGAGCTGGTGAGTTTGCTAAATTTTAACTTTGATCGATTAGTCTGTATAGAAATATATAAACTATTCATTAACCTATGTGATGAACAGAAACTGATCAAAAAACAAAAAGGAACATGAACTCTTATCTGAAATCTGTATCTCATCTGACTTACTATATCATTTAAAAAATAATAATTTTAACCTTACACACGTTCGTCTGATTCCAAACTAGGCAGAGCCTGGGCTATGGTAACCAGACTGCTGATAAACATACTAAGATATTATACACAACAAATCGTCGTGTACACCACACAATTATTTGTCCTGGGTGGGAATTGAACCCACGACCTCCGGCCTAGCAGTAAGGGTCACTAACCACTAAATCAACAAGCCCGTCAGTTGTAACATTAAAACTATATTTATAAAAATAATCCAGGAATCACAATTTCTACAGTTATCCTTTCAGATGACCGCGCCACCAAGCCCAAAGAGTCAACCGGCGCCCATCCTAAACCTCATGAACAGGTAACACGCTTTCTTCTTCGAGCATACATTATTTTTATAGAATTCATAACTAACTATTGTTACAGAACAAACCATATGAACACAAAAGAGTAAAAAAGATTACTAGACAACCCAGTATTGAGGAAGATGCCATGTTTATTAGGCAAACAATTCAAGAAATAGAAAGGTGTAGTTCTAGTCGTTTTAAAGAAAAAGAAGATACTGATAACGAAAAAAGTAAAGAGAGAGAAAGTATCGCACGTAAAGATTATTCTCCGAAACCTTCCAAATCAAATGAGAATGAAAAATATATAGATGGTAAGGATGGAGATCATACTCATGAATCTAAAGATGACCCAAAAGTTAAAGAAACAGAGAAAACAAATGGTAAAAAGAAATCTAAATCTAGAGCAAGACTAGAAAGGGAACAGTCAAAACCATCTGAAAGCGATACAGAACATGAAGTGGATACTGTAACTGTGGAGATACCAAGGAGAAGAAAAAGACCTAGAAGAGCGTCTGAAAAACCGAGAACTCCTCCCGCTTCTTTAAATTCGGATTCTGATGGTGAAGTACGTATTAAAGTATTCTTAAATGTTGGTTTTTATTTAACTTAACCCATAACATGAAAGGCATCTGTTTTATTTTTAAAGTGCCCTACTTTTCAATCTTAACCATTTTATTATAGTTATATCTATTTGTTTAACTGTATGTGTGTCTAGTTGTGCTCACACTTTAAGAGTTTAATTTTATTTTGACCAATCGTTACCTAATATATTTTCAGGTATTCATCCTAAAATTTAAAACAACAGGACAACGCGAACATTCTCCTGAAGTAATCGTTAAAACTATACGTAAAATATTTTCACCAGTAGTCCGCAGTGGTGAAACTATTCCCAGCGCAGTTATACCAGTAAACGTTGAAGATCTCCCTGAAGTCAGACAGTCAGAAAACAGCCACAGAAATGAAAACAAGAAAAAAGAACCTAAACCTGTGAAAGTTAAACAGGACAAGAGCGCACGATCGAAGAGTTCCGGTGACTTGCATGACACAGAAGAACTGAAAAAAAGGACCAGACCTCCTTTACCATCTTCTCCATCATCCCAGAGAAAGCCACAACTGAAGGAAACAGCGCCATCTATTCGTATTATGATACAACGATACAATAAAAAAATAAATGAAGAAGGTACGTTCCATTAGTGCTTTGGAGTACAAATGTGGTTGAGAAGTTTGCTTGTTTCTTAATTTTTATAAGTCTAACCTAATCATGTACTGCGAAATGTTTTTCGTTATAAATCATAATTAGCTAGTAACAATTGATTAAATTACTACAATTTATCTGAAATTATAGGCACATCACCAGTTAGCAGTGGCGCATCATCCCCTGCTTGGCGATCACCTTCTACTGAACGCCGAAGACCTCCCGACATGCCTGTTGGTGTTAACATCAGGTATCTAAATTAAGAAATTTAATAGACGCTATATGTATGTATATCAATTTACTTTCTCTTTTTTCAATTTGCTAGTGTTAGTGAGTGAGATCGTTATTTAATGCAAGTATTATTTTCAGGATAACTTATGTAATAGTAATATGATAATAACATTCAACTTTGTTTAATTTTGCAGAAACAACCCATTCCTCGAAAGGGAAGTCCAAAAATCAGCCAGCGCTTGCCAATTATCAAGACGTGATCCCACTTCATTGGAAAAACGTCTGACACCAGTACCGTCACCCAATCTCGATGGTGTGCTTAAGTCACATAGCGCGAACTCTCTTCACCCAGAACAGCCCAAGGTTAAACCCCCTAAACAAAAGAACGTAGATAGTCAAGAAACGATTACAGAAACAGCTAGCACCGACACTATTGTACCAAACTTAGCCCGGAATATACCAGAACTGGCACCTATTTCAGAACCTTCTCGAATTTCTAGTCAAATATCTTCGTCTACATTACCGAGCCTTAGCAGTTACATGTCAGGAAATCCTGGATTATTCGGAAGGTCCATTTCAACAGTTGAGCCGCCTGTTTTCCTGGATTACGAGACCACAGCAGTGAACTTATCGGAAAGAGCCGCTAAATTAAAGGCAGCTAGAGAGAAGTTTCTTTCGTCGACTGTGCCTATGAGACGAGAAGGAACTAGTTCAGCTAGTGATTTGATGAGGCCTGGTGATAGGTAAGATACCTCAAATTCAGTATATTTAGTGTTTAATTTATTAGATATTATTTGATTATTACTGGCTACAACAACTTCTAAGCAAAACAAATAAAAAAGCATGCGGGATGTAAAAAATGATTGGGTATTAAGTCTTGCGATCAACTTTTTGCTGTCCGTACCTTGTAACAAAAAGTAGAATACCAAGTACCTAAATACAACCTCTAATTGGAATAACATTTTGTTTCCAGGTCAAGTAGAATAAGTTGCGAAAGTGACGTAGCAGAATCTCATTCATCCGGCACTCAAGAATCAGCTGCTATTGGCAGAAGTGCCTCTACTGGCATGGTCAATGTAGATAGAGAAGCGTGGCAGAGAGTCGCTGAAGGTATAGTACAGATCTAGAATACAACATATATATTTTATCTATAAAACATATACGGACATAATATACAGGGTGTAAAGGACATCGTAACGAATACTGAAATAGTGTATTCAGACCATGATTTTGAGTAGAAAACCATTGGAATTTTCTGCCGAAAAAATCTTTTTTTTATAATTTTCCGTTTTTTTGGTTAAAAATGATATGACAGTGAGTAAACAGAACATTTTACCGAATAAAATTTAATGAATACAACATACGGTCAAAAACTGCAATGTGATTAATCAAACATCCAAATCGCGCGGACCCTCCCCTCCGGCGGCCAACTTTTGTTAGTGTGCGTACAGTACAGCTGACAACTACAGTACCTTTATTGCATAAAAAGTTTAACTTTCCGGCAGAAAATGCCAACGATTTTAGACTCAGAATGACAGTTTGAATACACTCTCTCTCCCTTGCCGATTCCGGCTACGGTGACTGCTGTCTGTCTATTGGTGGGCCAGAATGATTAGTCCTGTCATGTGCCCTCAGGTGACTGCAGTAGCCAACCTTATGCTCAAATGTACGCGAACATATGCGACATGTAAGGACACCATCAAGGACATTGATAAAGTTATAGGATATGGCCGTTGGTGAACGAGCCTTTAGAGCATCGCGCTTCTGATCTAACTCTGCTTTGCGCTGCTCTTCAAAAGCGTCCACTTTTTGCCGTACCAAGTGCCTCCATTCAGGTAGACAATTTGCTTGGTTCTCCCAAGTTGTCGGATCGATATTGCATCGCCTCATATGTCTTTTCTGGACATCGTTATAACGCAGGAACTGACCAGCCCGCCTGCGTTTTCCGTCGTGGAGCTCAAAGAAAAATATGCGCTTTGCTAACCTATCCCCGGACATGTGCGAGATGTGACCACACCATCGGAGCTGCCGCCGCTGAATACAGTATTTCAGTATTCGTTACGATGTCCCTTGCACCCGATATAGATGAAGTACACACGCTACAATAATTATCATGGTTCAAGTGCATTGTATTCGAATATCATCATCATCATCTTTCTAAGACTTGTCCCATCATCTGCGCTCGGCTATCCGGCGGCCGACAGGGTAACATGGGTTGAACAGAAAACTGTTCAACCCATGTTTCCCTGTCGGTAACACCATAATTTAATGTTAATTATCTAACAGGTAGTCGTCGTGAGGGTCGCTCTCGTTCTCGCTTCAGCCTGGCTCGTTTAGCTGCCAAGCTTCGGCGACGTGACGATGGCGCCGTCTCCCGCCTCTGTCGTCAAAGTCTACTTGTACAACTCATCAACAAACATTAAATATATTACTAGATATTGGACCTTGGCTGTTTTATTGTTGTATTACCTTTCAGATCTTCATCGTAGTCATCATAACCTTAGGAGGTCCATAAATCTAGGGGGTGTGCCATGGCTAACTACTGATAACGTATCGCTAGGTGATGCTTTTTCTAAACTCTATCTAGGGCAGACCATACTGTCTTATGAAGGCTCTCCCCTCCAGTTTTACCGTTTTTGTTTTTTGAATCTGTAGTCTTGAGAATATTTTTTCTGTAGCTATAGACAGCTTACATAGCTACTCGTATAATCATAAACCAAAAAGTCTAGTATATTTTATTTTACCTATAATGGTACAATAATGTATTTAGTTAAAACTCTGAATAGATCGAGTGTTTCAACTGGCACTGGGTAATTATACTTTTGACTTCACGTCAGATACCATATACTGTTTTTGAACCATTTGGGTTAGGTTAGTTAGAACAGTGACCATCGTGCCAGAATAAGCGAGCCGTGGTAGCGGTCGGGGAGCACCAAATCCCCTTTTTTCCGTGCGGAAATCCTCTCGGATACCACCTATCGGTGGCATGTCGGACTCGAACCGACTAAAACCGCACGCTGTCTCGGGTACTAATAGCCGGGGAACCAGGTATACCCTAGAATGGAAGTCCCTGGTGCAACGCCAAATCCCCTGTATTCATGGTAAACCATTTAGGTTAGATTAAGTTATAACAGTATCACGTTGCTGTCAAAAATACTTTTGACTAGTTAAGAGTTCTGACTGTAACATATACAATGAGAGTTCAAATTACACTAGTCAATTAACTAAAGCGGTCCTTTGACAGTTTGTCTTTCAAATACATGACATTGGCGAAATTGTGGTTACACTCTACCACAAAGCCATTAACCAAAAGTTGAAGTTGAACTAAAGCGGTCGAAATTCGACTGGCAGGCGATCTCAAGTATTATCAAACGTATGGAAAAGGAAAGTTAGGTACTAAAATAAAACTCAAATAACCATACTTAATTTTCAAATTTAATATCATTTCATACAATACCATGTCAACAGTCCGCCGTCCATTCAATAGTGTGGTAACAATAATTACCATATCAAAATGTGGATGTTGCAGCTAATCGTATCCTTATAAAAACACTACATTTCAGTATTTATTAGTAATAATAAGACTCAAAAGAACACTTATAAACAATATTAATGGGTAATTTGGTTGAGGTAGATACAGTTTTATCATTTTTTTTATAACTAGCATTAAATGGGTAGGTCCATGTTTGACAACGTGGTTTATGATGTTCGTTTTTAATTTATGGGTACCGTCGTATCTTCACGTTCTTTATATAAAAAGATGTGCATGTACCCACTGAATAGAGTAATTTCTTGATTATTATGTTTAATAATTCAACCTTCGCAGGTACAAAATTTATGTGTTCAAAATAAATTTATAAAATCAAAATATTTCAATTTACTTACAATATATTATTTAAGAACATTGAGATATTTTAATATTCGAAAAATGTAGAAATATTTATTTAGACATTTTTTTCATATAATAACCTAAATGTGATGTTATGTGCACACGAACGAACGTGCAAAGAAAGGACTAAATTTAAAAAAAAATGATGGATTTTAATGGCATTTAGTCTATGACCAAATCACAATCACAGGTAAATTTGCTCTGAAAGAAACTAATCACTTCTAAAAATAGCAATAATTTCCAAGTCTAGTTGCCGCCCTTTCTCACCTCCACCACCATAAATTGGAACCGGGGTTCCGGTAACCTGACCTGACTCGGTGAAAACCCACAAAATGCCTAAAACTGGTTTCCTGTGATCACGTGGTATGTACTTATTTAATCAAAAAGCATGGACATATTAAAATACCTCAATTAGTGGTGTTATAAAAAATATTTACTTAAAAGCACTGGGTTGTGGCTATCAATAGTTACCTTACATCAAAATTGAGCCACCAATATGGTCTTTATAATTGTATAATATTAATTTACATCTTAAATTAGCTCCTGTAAAAATGCTATTGGTGTCTCGCAACGAATTAAAATTATAGGAACACTTCTGCCTTAAACATTTCTCTATTCTTCTGACTCATTATCTCAAATAGTAAAATAATTTTGACTACAAAGCATTGTAACCGACTTCAATAAATTTAAAACTCGCTTAAGTTGCTGTTTAAAATTTTGATTAGCTATTTACCTACGTTGAATTTTAATTTCATTTATTGTGGGACCACTATGGACATCTTGAAGCATTTTAACCATTATAAATTGTATAAAAGTTCATGAAACAATGAATCTTGTTTAATGTTATGTATCCAATTTGATTTCACTACAAATTGGGTTTAATTTAACACATTTTATATAGTGATAGTGTATTTTGTGTTTAATATCTGCTTATAAATCTTTTTTAGTTAATAGCTAAGGATCATCATCGTATTTATTATCAAACATCGTATCGTGCAATCCATAATAGTAAACTTTTTTCACTACGACAACAGATTCGATTAATATAATAATGTTTTAATGTAAATGATGAGATTCGATCTTACAGGTTGGGTTAAACGCCCAAAAATGATTATATAAATTTGCAATACATTCCTTAAAACAAGAAATTTAAAAATAGCCCATATATTGAACCTAAAACCAACAACCCTTACTCGAAAATTCCTAAATATGAGTTTCTTTTCTTAACCCAAGGTAGGCGAGTAACATTCTCTAGCGACTTTTTCGACAACCATGTAACAAAGATATTGAATTTAAATTTGAATGTAACTGCATATTGTATACAAAACAGCAGGATATAACTGAGGTTATAACCTAGGCTTTTTATAGACAATAAACTCCCACAGATAATTAAAGGTGACAATAAACTCCCACAGATAATTAAAATATATAATTGGTCACATTGTTTGACAGTAAATACCTACTAACAATAGACAGTTAATATGTATAAGCTTCGTTAAGTATACGGGTATAAACAATTTGGTAATTTCTCTCCGTATGGGAATAGCTCAAATTCACCTATTTTTTCATTATATCGTTAAAAATGAGATAATAAGTAATAAGAACTGTTAAGGCAGAAGTTTGGACCATAATCAACCAAACAATTGGATCCTAAGATAAATATTCCTAAGGGAAACATCGAAACAAATCTCTACAGAGGTGTTGGTCCCCTGAATAATATTTTATAATAAACGACTTTTAGGGCAACCGCCATTTTGTATCGTCGCACAGATAACCAATAACACGCAGATTATAATATTAAAACAGGAGTAACAAAAATGTCAAATGGAAAGTTGTTTGAAGTGCAAAAGTGTTTTAACTTTTAGAAATATTTGGACGCTTTTAACTAAGTACGTACTTGCAATATCAATGTCACGCAAATATGAGTCCTAGCGCAGATGGTTCAAAGGTTTGAAATCGGTTTTTATCAACTTTGATAGCAAAGGATACTTTTCATAAACACTTGCATAACATTATGTCCATTAGTCTGGCTTTTTTGGATTCTGGCTTTTTAACATTCTGACTTTTTTGTCATTCCAACTTTTTCCATACTTAATTCTCTTACATACTCAGTGTGAGGTTTTTCCCATTTAAATAAAAAAATCCTTTACCAACAAAAATGAAAAAAATCCGATATCTTCTCAAAATATCTAAAATCAAAATACGAACAACTTAAGTATAGATATAACAAATATAACTACGCTATTGGTTGACATTTACGAAATTAATGTTTTGCCACGCATTCATTTATTAAGAATTTAATTGAAAATATTTGACAATTTACAAACGAGAAGATGAGTTAGTTGATTGTAAGTGACTGACGCCGGTTTTGGACGCCTGCAACTCAAAGAGTCACAAGGGGTTCCTTAACACCGGTTTTCTGTGTGGAATCACACTGGTCAAGCGACCCATACCCAGAAGTAACCCTCTCCTACAGCAAGCTCAGCTCTTAGAAATTTATTACCAAAAAAAATTTGAATGACTTCAGTGGTAGAATTTACTGGTAGCATGGCATAGTTATTTTGTTTTATCTTTAAAATAGGTAATAAATCGTCAAATATCTTCAATTCTATTCTATAGTAACAAAAATGGATCTATTGTGTGTCCTTATGAAATAATTGGTTATTCAATATGTATTGATTAACATAATATTATTGCTTATTTATGTATGTTATATTATTAATAACAAAATTGTATCATAACTATATAACTGTATGGTCAAAATACTACACAATAATACATATAACACAATAATAAAGTAAAATAATAAATGAAAACAAATTAAAAAAAAAAACTGTATTTACATAAAAACAATCTGTGGAATTATGGTACTATTGCAGTCATTATGGAATGTGAGTTAATGAACATAAGGTGTCTATTGCTTAAATAAAGAGGAATGGTTAGAACTCTGTCAAAATATAAATGTAAAAACGTCACGGAAGTGGTATCAATATACACATGTGTATTTCGAGGCCCTTCATCAAAGGATTAGTTGGTTGGGGGTCTGGGTACCATCTACCCTAGATGGTGGTATCATCTACGCCATATGGAATATGACGCCTGTCGTTCGACAACAACCAACAGACAAGCCGCTTTAATATTTGATAAAAAGCTCCCATCGGGTTCGAAGTCGTTTACCTCCGAACTATGCACGTAGATCAAACAGTAAGTATATATTTAATTAAAATACATAATACCATGTTGATTTCAAAACACATTTCTCATTTATAACAAGGAACAAATGTTACATTAAAATGAGATAAACACATGATGACACACAAAACACTCCACTTCAGAGATTTTTATATATTGGAAAATGAGATTCAAAATGATCATCAGAGGCACAATATCAGGCTTTAATATTTTTTTTATAAATTTTCACTCCAAGGACGGACAAGCCAATATATAAAAAAAAGGAAAAATGTATATAAACATCATTCAAACTAATATCAGGCTACGGAAATTACTATTGTAGTAAACTTACATCTACAAGTA